GTTCACAATGGTAACTGTATGTTCACATTGGTAACTGTGTGTTCATATTGGTAACTGTAAGTTCACAATGGTAACTGATGTTCACAATGGTAACTGTATGTTCACAATGGTAACTGTATGTTCGCAATGGTAACTGTGTGTTCACAATGGTAACAGTGTGTTCACAATGGTAACTGTGTGTTCACAATGGTAACTTTGTGTTCACAATGGTAACTGTATGTTCACAATGGTAACTTTGTGTTCACAATGGTAACTTTGTGTTCACAATGGTAACTTTGTGTTCACAATGGTAACTGTATGTTCACAATGGTAACTGTATGTTCATAATGGTAACTGTATGTTCACAATGGTAACTGTATGTTTGGTCTAAGATCACCAATGGTCACTAGATAAGAGAAACAGTAGCGACTGACCACTGACAAGAAGGCCATTGTGATCGGCTAAAGTTTTTAGAAGTGGGAGCCTTCCTAGTCAACCCAGCATTATTTACCAGCAGTACAATGTCGTGCTAGCCATCTAACACAGAGGACGGCTGGGAGGTTTAAGACTAGTCTTTGTTATTTCTGGGGGTTTTTTTTTATTTCAATAAACACCAGACTAGACCATTTCACATAAGGTATGGGAAGAATGATCTAGATCCCCTAGCTGAATCCTACGGGGACGAGATTCAAACATTTCCGGGGACCGTCGAACTTTTTTTTTTAACCGCAGGGTTATTCATATATCTTAGTGACGGTAAGATTGAAATAAAAAACAAAACAAATCAAGCAACAACAGCAATGGGAATATGCGCTCTTACATATATCTTTTAAATTTTAAACTACCCCCCCCCCCCCCCCACCTCCAAATATTATCAGAGGACATAAAAGCAATTAGCAAGTAGGATGTTGTAAACGCTACACTGGGAGTTGAAAAGGCGAAGAAGACACAATCCCCACCAACACAAAGCTTCATTTAAGTGGAGACTATTTAGTCTAAAGCCTTCCGTTTAGCTGGGCTTAATTCCATACCAGATAATACATGGCGTTCATCTGATACATGGCATACAGTGAATCTGTTTCTCTGACCTTCGCATATAAAAGGGTTTGTAGTCCTATGGTCTGCACTATGCCCAACCTGTTGGGTACCCATCGGGGCTGGGTAAACTCAGTGACGTCCAATGGAGCCTACGAATCATACTCGAGATGATCGGATTAGTAATCGTGTGTTAATTGAGCGTGCCACGGTTAAATGTTCCATTAAATTTTCCAGAAAACCTGGGACTTCTTAAAATCTGGGACCCTGTAAACAGTTCGGTCAAACCCCCCCCCCCCTCCCCTCAACCCCCCAAATGAATAAAGGTTATCTCGGCTATAGCATTAGATCTTAAACTGTTTTCGTGGCCAGCGCACAGGTAAGTTAACCTTTAACCTTTGCCTGGAGCACCTTGACAGGAAGGTCTAAACGACAAAACGTGAGTTGAGAGGCGGTTTACTCAAATATATTGGAAGCGGCACTTGTGGGCGCTCATCATAAAATTTCACGTGTCATCAGTGTTTCTTTCAGGCATTTATTGGCGGGGGGGGGGGGGCTTTCCTCTGAAGCACTTCCGCCCCCAAAGGAAAATTGGTCCGCCCCCCCCCCCCCCCACACACACACGCCCAGGAGAAAAAAACGTCTGAAAGAAACACTGCGTGTGATGTTTTAATATATCAGTGTTGTGTTCGAATCTCACCTAGACATAATTCTGCAACTGTCTCGCGCAGTTTAACCATCTTAAGTGCTGTCAACATTCTGGACTGTTTTTTTCCCCTTTGATTTTATTTATTTCTTTTGTAAATATTTTAGCTTTAATTTTACTTTCTCTTATATACGAAGTATACAGAAAGTCTTGTAATCGTGCAAAAAAAAATCGAGATTTTTACAAATCTCGACGTTTTACGCCTCACTGATACGGAAAAACATAATTTTGCAATCTTGTCCGTATGTCTGTGTGTCTGTCTGTGTGTGTGTGTGTGTGTGTGTGTCTGTCTGTGTGTAAACACGATAACTTTTTTTTAAGTTGTCCTCCACTTGAAATAACAAACAGGGGCATTTCAATCCTAAATATTTAATAAGAATAAATAAATTGCTCATCTATAACATTAAACCAATATCGACCACAATGAACAGACCCAGGCAACACTAGATTTAACTCCTGACTTACAGACCCAGCTAACACTAGATTTAACTCCTGACTTACAGACCCAGCTAACACTAGATTTAACTCCTGGCTTACAGACCCAGCTAACACTAGATTTAACTCCTGACTTACATACACAGCTAACACTAGATTTAACTCCTGACTTATAGACCCAGGCAACACTAGATTTAACTCCTGACTTACATACACAGCTAACACTAGATTTAACTCCTGACTTACATACACAGCTAACACTAGATTTAACTCCTGACTTATAGACCCAGGCAACACTAGATTTAACTCCTGACTTATAGACCCGGGAAACACTAGATTTAACTCCTGACTTACATACACTTACATACACAGCTAACACTAGATTTAACTCCTGACTTATAGACTCAGGGAACATGTTCAAATGGACGGAGATAGAACGCCTTGTCAGTTTTTCTGTAGAAAGAATTTGGTGGAGGAAAAAGGATGGATAGAATTTTTTTTTCCTGATCGTGATTTCCCAGGAGCTCCTGTGTTTAAACTTCATCTATTTTTTTTCCCCCAACTCAATTCCAACACGAAAAAAAAAATATTGCTCAGAAATCAAGAAATGATTTCAAAATCTCTTTGTTAATTGAGTAGAAGTTGATGTAGGGAAATCAAAATCTTAGAATTCTTTCACATCTTTTACACCCCCTCCCCTTTAATAATGTTGAGTTGCACATGGGCTATTTCTTGGAGGAAATCTACTTCAAAGACGGTTTGAGTCTGTGAAAGGTCATGTCTGCAGACTAAATGGTTATATTTATTTAAGTTCAGTAGAGGGACGCAGACAGCCTGGTCGGTATGAGACCATATGTAGCTCTTATACAGCCCATCTATCTCTGTAAACGGTAGGACTAGGACCATATGTAACTCTTATACAAATGCCATCTTTTAACGTAGGACAAGGACCATATGTAACTTATACAAAGGCCATCTTTTAACGTAGGACAAGGACCATATATAACTTATACAAAGGCCATCTTTTAATTGTTGGGCTAGGACCAGTTGTTACTTATATACAGTCCATCTCTATTCGTAAGCTGAAGAACTAGGACTATATGTAACTCATTTGTAAACTGTAGGACTAGGACTATTTGTAAACTCATTTGTTACCTGTAGGACTAGGACCATACGTAACTCTTACACAGCCAATGAATGAGTTAAGCTTAGGGTCGGTTTGGTAACTAACCCAATGATCTGGGGAATGGGTGCCGGTCTAGCCAGTCCCCAGGCTGACGGGGGGGGGGGGGGGGGGGGGGGGAAGTTGAGGCGGCAAGACATTAAAGCCGACCACACCATCCTTTCATATGCCGGAGGATCTAAAACGGTACTTCGTCGCTTTATTCTTATTGGGATAAACGAAGTTCTTTTAGTATGGATCGAAATATACTGACTGAATTATTAGTATATATGACGGTCGTTCATTTTCAACCATCACGAGGGGTTTCCCAACAAAAATTACTTTTTTTTATGGACGTCCTAAATAGGCTATCTATCACCAGTGGCAGGAAAATAGCCAAGAATATAAGAATGTATAATTTAACCTCAAACCTTTTTGAAATGTCACATTTTCGTCACTCCATACACCGGACAGCTACCCTCATACCAGGAGAATCACATGTAGTGCACATTAAACTCTAGCTACGGTAACCCACATCACTACCAACCTGACCACAGAGAGCGTGTCAATGGGGTTGTCCTTAATGTCACCCACCCCAATCACTACCAATCTGATCACGGAGAGCGTGTCCATGGGGTTGTCAACCACCCCAATCACTACCAACCTGACCACGGAGAGCGTGTCAATGAGGTTGCCACCCACCCCAATCACTACCAGACAGGACCATTCAAATCTAGCCTGTCCACCCAATGTGACCCTAAGCCATTTCTCACCCCAACCATTAACCAAGCTACAGCTCGCTAATTCCAGTTCCCACCCAGCTGCCTTCCTAAAAGTTTCAAGCCCCTTGCAATTTAAACTAACAAGATCGAAAAAAAAAAGTAAAAAAGGGGAGTGAATTAGTCCCCATTACAGCATGATTGGAGCCAGGGGAAGTAAGCGTGGACATCGCTGTGCTACTTAATCGAAGAGAAAAATCAATAAATTGTCAAGTCTAGTTTAAGAGATCTTAAGCATTTTTAAATCAAATAGAAAGGGAGAAAACCTAAGTGTAGGGGAGTAAGCTCTAGTTTCTTCTCCAGACTTACACATAAGTGTTGGGCAAAAAGCTAACACAAACACATGTAGGCCCCTATATATACTTGAAACCGGTTTAAGTGTAAAATCCGGTTTAAGTGTAAAATCCGACATTCTATAGAGTACCATGGCAATGGGTATACATTTCTTAGTCACTCTATAGAATACCAATTAACAAACAGGCAGAGTGTAGAATACACTTTCTTGCAAGAACATTCCGCTATCTTTGTTAGGTTTTTGGTTGGAAAAAAAATTAAGTGCAATTCAAAACGCCATTCTAGTCTATCCTGTTGCAATAAACAGCAAGTAATAACACTTCTGATTCCTTTGTTCTCACAATAGATTTCCTGTTGATCATTTTGCAAAATGTAACTAAAAAACTTTTGCATTTCTGGGTAGTTTTACACTTTGCCTTAACAGTTCTTGTCATTCTTTATAACACATGTTTTTTGTGCAACACCTAGGAAAAGTATAAAACAACAATATTTCATAAAAACACTGCCTGAAAATGTCAGAGATTGTATACATTGCTTAGGAATTCTATAGAATGCTGGGTTTTCATACATTGCCTGTAAAGTATACAAATAAATTTTAAAAAGGCTGCACTAGTGGAATTATTTATTTATTACAGAAAACACTGAAGCAAACGGGACAACAAACACACTATAATATCTTAAAGACAAATTCATAACATTCTCAAAAGAAAACAATAATGCATGTGTCACAAAGAAAAATGGAAAGGACATTGGCTGCATACACTCATAATCATATAGAGCTTAGGCTAGAAGTTTAGCACGAGCTGTATAAGCCATCCACCAAACAACTATTGCTGACATTGCAGCAACAAACTCGGTTTGAACAATTGGACCTGACCAAATGCCCTGAAACAAAAAAAAATTGTTTATTGAAGTTAATTACATAACCAAGCATCATTTTTTAAATATATTATTAACAGTTTCGTTTTTATTGATAGCAATATATCTCCAGGAAAAAAACCTAATCAATTAATGTTAAGGTCTGAAATATATTGCTGAGATGGTATAAAACCTACAATTAGTTGTTACTAAACAAATCATAACTCACTGGATGATTCAAAGTTAGAGTAAACAAAGGTTTAAGGCTGTCTGTGCTCTCACCACTGCGCTGTGCCTGAAAGTGAAAGTAAATATTAAAATTAACCACACCAAACTAGGTATTAGAACTTTTTTCTCTTCCTACAGGAAAGATTTATAAATTCACACAAAAAAAAACCCCACATCAAGATAAATGCTAAAAATGACTAATTAAAATGCATTTTCAAACATGGAATATTCAGCTGGTAAACTAGATATAAACAAATACAAAGAAATGGAAAAAGGGCTTACACTAGAACTAATAAATCACTTATAGAATGATGCAAATAAATAAGTTCTAGAGAATTTTTATCATGACGTATTTGAAAATATTCCAACACAACCCAAACCACATTTTTTTTAACAAAAAAAAAAAAAAAAAAGAGCTTCTGTCCATTTTTAAAGCATAATACATTTCACACCTTTATACAGGTTAACTTGGTTCACTTTTATATCATCACTAAATCTACATAAAGATCACAAGCTGTTATACCCCTCCAAAGAAAAAAATAATAATACAACAATGAAGCACTAAAAAATATCACATAATATTTTTATTCTAACCTTTGACCATTTGTTATGAATAAGAATTAAAGTAGATGTAACCAAGAAACTCACCTAGTGTGGTCAGTTTATCAATGAGTTTCTTGGTTACACCTACTCACTCAATAGCCAAAGCATATTAATAGCAAAATATCACACCATTGACCTAGCAATCTAGTGACTCTCATCCAAAGATAACTTTGGATGTGAGTGAGTTTATATAGAAGACATGTAAATGAGAAGTATGAGAAATTAAAGCTGAAAGTAAAACTGGACAATAATCCAACAACCACTGCATAAAGAAAAAACCAAAACAAACAATGATTTATGCTGATCCCTTTTTCTAGTTTTATGCAAGGCAAAACCTAAGTTTATGGTTTGGGAAAATATTCATAATATCTTAACCTGAGTAAAAATGGTAACATTATGGTCAAAATCATACAAGTAGACAGCTTTGTTAACCCAAATTTAACAACTTAAATGTTAATTACCTTTCTCAACAGAGCAAAACCTTCTTCATCAAATATTCTTATTTCATAATTCCCAGAGGGTAACTTCTTGTGCTCATCTGTTATACTAATCTGCAAAACAAGTTTAAAACTTCTCAAGTCTAACCTAACAAAAACAACAGCAAATTACAATGTTTTCAAAATGCTACTTAAAAACATCAATAATGATTGCAGAGTGAAGCAAAAATAAAAGAAGGGCAATACCTGATACTTATTTGGCTCGCTTGTTTTGGTAGCTGGAATGGTCCTACCGCCAACATCAGCATACAAATTAATGTTCTAAAAGAGTTTAAATGATCAATATTAAGAACTGAAATAAAAAGCTTTCTGTTTTGCTTTGTAAAATTATATTCATAATAAACAATCATTTGAATTTCTAAACCAAAGCAAAAAATGACAAACCTTCAAATTGTTTTTGCAGTTGACAGTAAACTCAGCAATGAGAACAGTTTCTGAAGAAACAACTGCCTCTGGTGTTGAATAGAACTGGGATTTGACCTGAGGTGCCAGACAGGTGTCTCCTAAAAATTTAAAGGAAAAAAAAAAAGGAAATAGTAATGATGACTGTCCTGAATGTTTTTGAAAACTAATTGATGCAGATCAAATTTTGTTAGCATAAAAAGCTTATCAATACAGCTATATGCTTTGGAAAAAAAACAAGCAATTTTATGAACCCCATTATATTGCATGGTTATGCATATATTGAGTATATATTTAAAACAAGTATAAAAATCCTTAGAAATAGTAAGCTTTAAATTAAAATGCACTGAAGATAAGAAAATGAAACACTTTCTCTAAAATAAATATAGTCTGTCAACAAGAACCACAGAATATCAAACTGAGTATTACTAGTAGTTTGTCCCAAATGTCACACTCAGATTTCTTGCAGTGGTTTCGTTTTTTAAGGGTCCTATACTGACTACTATCTACGAGGAATGAAAACACTGCTCATTTTGCTAAACTCATAATGCTTTGAATGTGACACTAAATAAATAAATTATCTTCCTTTCTAAGCCTGAAAAAATTGCTACTATTCTGTCCAAAAGTAAGAAATGTAGGTTTTTTTTGTGGAATGTTTATCTGTAAAACTGAACATATAGGCCTAACTAAAATTTATGGCCAGAGGTTGGACATAATATATAGCCTACTATACTACTATAGGCCTAGGCATTACTAACATTTTTATGACATTTATTTTGAATTACATTTGCCAACGCTTTGACTTTGCCAACACTCGCTTAACTCCAACAACTGGTAAAACATTTTATTTTTAGATTGATGACATCATATTGACATAAGCAAGCCATGTGTGTGTGTAGTTAACTACAAGTAACAGCTAACACACCCTATTTTAATAAGATTCCATTATTGGACACTGGTATAAAAAATTCTCCCATATCTATTTTTGTATTTGCAATTTTTTTAAGTACCTGCTCCGGTGGTCGAAGTGTTTGTGCATTGGCATGTTTGTTTTCAAGGCGTGGGTTCTATACCCTTTGGGTCAGATATTTTTTTTTTCATTTTTGCTTTTTTTTTTTTAAATTTTACTTAAGGATTAGGATTAAGCATTAGGGTTAGGTTTAGGCATTAGGGTTAGGATTAGATGTAGGGTTAGTGATAAGATCGAAAAAAATAATTAGCTCTAGATCTATACAGCTTGTAAAGGAAATTCAAGAATCACAGAAAAAATGCCTCACGCTGATTGGTCAGAGTACGAATAGCCTTCATAGGGCTATTTGTAGTCAAGTACGAATAGTCGCAGCCATTTTTTTAAAAATTGGTCCTTTGAGCCAAAAAAGATTTTTCCCCCCCAACGTCTCCCCACCTAGTTGGCAAAAGATCTGCGCATGCGCAGTGACCTATGGCTAGGGTTAGGATTAGGGATGGCATTAGGGTTAGGGTTCTGCGGTTGTAAACACATCGAAAACATCGCCGCATATCTTTTTCCAGCTAGCATCGGCCAAAAATGATTGGGAATTGTGTGACCATTTACTTCTAAATATAATCTAGATCTAAGCCAATTAGCCAGTGACCTGGTTGGAGCACTGGCCTCAAAGTACACAGCAGTTCTTACGGATTGAGAAGAAGATCTAACAACGCCTAAAAACAAGCAGCCAGGGAGTGAAAGGAGGGTAATCTATCGTTTTGGGTACGTAAAATCGCCCGCGACTTGTAATGTGAAAACCAGGTGACTCCTTAAATTTTAATAATTATTTCACATTTTGAGGAGGATTTATATTTTTTAAAATACAAAAATGTTTCCTTGTTTCATTTATGTACCTGTTTTTAAAGAATTGAATTAAAACTTTTCAGTAATAAATGAAGACTAGCGATGTTTCCAACAGATGCAACCATGCTCATTTACTATAGCAGCCATCTTGTTTAAGTTTTATTTTATAAGCTTTTAGCGCGAGATCAGGGGGAAGCCACTCTATTTTACAAATGGCTGCTGTTTATATAGCAAATCTTGCTCGCAAACACTGCTGTTTAAAGTTTATTTCTGGCCTATATCGATATATTTAGCCATTGATTTAGGTTTATTATTCATTTATCTATAATATTTGACACAAACATATGACAATATACTTCTATTAAAGCCTTGACAATGAGGTAACGTTTTCGTACATTAATAGCCGCGGGCGATTTTACGTACCCAAAACGATAGATTACCGAAAGGAGTGACAGAAGAATGCGAGAAGCGTTGAAGCTTCATTACAAAGCAAAATTATAGATTTAAGTAATATAAAAAGTTTTAAAACTTCGTAGTAATAACAAGTAAATAAACCTTTGATCTATCTTCTAAAACGTGTGAACAATAAATTTACCGTATGTAAGAACTGGTAGCAGACATAGGGCGATTATCACGAGAACTTTGCTGGTAGCTGCCATTTTTATTGTGACGTTGAATAAAAAGAAAGAGATGATGGCAATAGTATACTTATGCCTTAAAAGAGTTCTCATCATATTTTAACTTTGCTAATAAAGATTCAAAATGTAGTTCTAGCGTTGTATTAAGAAAATTACTTTAGATAATAATTTCAACGATAATAGTTTATAAAAAGTATTAAAAAGAGATATTTTTAAAATAGTTTATTTTTGTTTAAGTTAAACGCAAAATAAACAGAAGACTTAAGATATTAATAAAAAAAACGTTTGTCATGGCAATTTAGACCTGCTAAATCTATGTGAAATGTGGTTGGGGTTTCCTTTCCTTTTAATAAAAATAAAGATAATTTCATTTCATTTTATAAAAGACTATATCTGAACATTATTTATCATAATTTATGAATCATCAGCTGCTTTGCTAAGTAGACTTATGTTCTTTAGCCTATATAGTAGTATATAGTAAAAATGTTAGCCAAATAACCGTTAAATTTACATTTTATAGATTACTACGCTTATATCATTTTGCTAGGGGTTCTCGAAGGCGATTGAAATTCTCCATCCTGGTCCTTGTTCATCCTGGTTCTTCAAGAAACACCCGGACGAAAACATTGTAAATATAGCTCACGTGGGTTCGTATGTCACTATGGACGCTCCCGTTTCGTGTTTTAGGGGTGTCCTCGTCACATCATTAAAAAAAATGTCGCTAGGGTTTTCAAAAGGACTTCCCTACTACAACTCTATAATATGCGTCTATTCACTGAATCGGTAATAAGGCGAATAATTTTCATTTAACCCGGAAATGAAGTCCACTGTCATGTTTTCTATTGCAGCTCACTGACTGGTAGTTCTGGAGCCTGCCCTTTTTGCATAAAAATTTTGGTATCCCTCCCACGCAGTATCATCACCACATACAATCTAAATCCACTTCTACGTTACTACAATTAACCCAATATAACCTTCTATTTTAAAAGGAGACCCTTTTCAAGAAAAGACACTTTCTTTCAGTATACAGTTGTAACAGTATGCTAAAGTATTAAAGTATGCTTGCCTTTTTTTTCTGAAAGATTCCAACTGTCAAAATATAAAAACTGATTGTGATTACTGATGTTTGTTTGAATGAATGATGGTAGATTTTTTTCTAGATTCTTAGTCTCTACTACTCTCTAGTCAATGTCAATAGTTACATAGTGTAGTGTGCCAATCTTGCAGTATTGGGGGGGGGGGGGTTGTTTTTTATACCAGTATTACCAGTGTCCAATAGTAGATTCTTCTTAAAAAGGGTGTTAGGTTACTAGTAGTTGGTATATAACTAAAATAATACACACATGGCTTGCTAATGTGACATAATGTCAATACTAACCCCACCAACCCAGTCCTACCATAATAGGTCTAACCCTGATTACTAGTAATTAGTAATTTCTAACCATAAAACTAGTTGAGAAGAGTCGCTTTATCATCCTCAATTTCTTTCAATGTCAAGCAGCTTATGAAATGCTAAAACATAAAAGCAGTTTGGATATTTCCAAAATAGTTAAGTTTGAAAGTAATTATTACTGAAAAATGAGAATTTAAATGCAATTCACTGCTATTTTGAGATTTTACTGAATCATATTTCTATCTATCTTTTTTTGAGTTTTTAGTTTACAAATGTCTACAGTAAAAATTAAAAATAAATTAGGCCTAATGAAGCAATTTTTGCAATAAAAATAACTTTGGCTGTACTTGTTCTGATGCGTTTACTAACAAACCTTATTGAGTAATTTAAAAAAAAAGAATCTTCTGTTTAATCACTGGCTTATTGGTTGGTTTTTTTTTAATTCACTAGTAGATCAAGGTCTACCATTTTACTGTTGTGTCACTTGTTTAATTAATGTATCCACTTATGCATTTTGTTTTCCACATATTTCTTAAGGTAATCTAACTATCTGATGATGCTTTAGCAGACTTTGTGTCAAACTCTATTTGTACAGCTTTCTTGGTTTCACGTGAGTGAGGATTCAAACTAAACTTCATTTATTTGAAAAAATGTGAAACTTCTAAACAAAGTATTTTTTCAATATTCCAAAATATTTTAAATACTTGATATCAAGACTTGTAATAATTTTAATTTTAAAATGTAATTTATCATTCAGGGTTGCCTATTCTTGCAATGGAAGATGACCCCAGTACATCTACTTATACTTTGGTAACCACATTGAATGATGATATTGAGGAGGATAGTGGAAGTTTGCCAGAAGACAGTAAATCTGATATCATGCCAATCATGGCAGAAGTTTCATCATCCAACGATGAGGAGAGAATAAGTGTATTTAAAACAGAACATCCAAGCTGCTCTGAGATATGTAGCATGGAGATGGAACAGTTTGCTGAAGTGGAAGAAGTGGAAATGGATTCAATGATGAAAACAGAGGTTATAGGGTTAGAAAACACAGATGATAGAGATACAGAACCTATTCATCACTTAGCACCACAGCAGTTTATTATTCTGACACGTACTACTGATGGAAGCGGTGGTGAGTTTGTATATACATACAATTGTTTCTAAAATTTTAATTCCTGAGGCATTAATATTTTTTTTTTAAATTAAGTTCTTAATATTAAAATAATATTCTCTAAAGTATCGTACTTTGAAATAATTGTTTTTTTCCACACCACTTAGAAAGTGCGCCTGCAAAGTACATTCGTTTTGATGGTGCTGATGGTCAGACGTATGTCTTAGCAGTTTCAGGTAATTATTGACATTTTTAAGAATCTTCAGACAAGCATTTGACTTTAAACATAATGTAAACAGCATTATATATGTATTATTTATATATTTTCAGATAATGTCTTGACAACTGATCCAACTAAAGTAATGCAAACTCAACATCCAACCAAGGTAAATCATTTTTATTTTTGCTGTACGGATTGTTTCCTCCATTGCAGTTCTTAAGTGCTGGATAGAAATTTGTGCTTGTTGTGAAGAATCTAAACATAGATCCATACAACAAATGTTGACATTTTTTGTGCAGAAGTCTAAAAGTTTTTTAAAAATAACTTTTAACATTTTAGTGCTCATCATATTTGCTCTGGCTTATGAGCTTTTTAAAAAACTATGGATCTTGCCACAACTCAAGTGATGTTAAGAATACCCTTCTACCGAAGTTAAACCGTTTTTGTTTCATTTTCATGTTTAGAATGTCAAGTCAGGGAGAAACAGACAAGCTGGTCCATCAAATATTGTGGCTTCTCCATCAACAAATTGTCGAGTAAAATCATCCCATAACGCCAATGCTGATGGCATCAATCAAGCTTGGTTCACAACAAGGGATGATAAAAATGCACTTCATAGTGAAGGTACCTGTCTAGTTATGCCTGGCATTTGTAATATACAGTGCACACTGGCGACCCGGATCTAAATCATTTGGAATTATTCCATAGGTCACAAGTGGAAGCAAGGGCAATGGACTAAAGAAGAAATTGAAATTTTAGAATCCAACATTAACAGTTACTGTAAGGTATTGCTAATAAAATATTTCAAAATGCTTGATATGACAAATAAAATTAAAACTATTGTTTACCACGAAGGGATTTTTAATAAAGAATGAATCAACTCTCTTTTATGCTATTTTCAGGAACATAGCATTAAAGATCCAGCAGAAGTTATTTTTGAAATGTCCAAAGACGAAAGGAAAGATTTTTATCGGACTATAGCTTTAGGGATACAGCGTCCTCTCTTCTCTGTATACAGACGTGTGACGAGAATGTATGATCAGAAAAATCATAGAGGGAAATATACACCAAATGAAATGAAAGCCCTTAGAGTGTAAGTTTTTTCAAGACTTTTATAAAGATTTTCATAGACATTTGTTTTAGATCTAAACCCCTCAAGTATAGTTTATGACAGTTTTACTGACATAGAACATTATGTTATATTGTATTGTAGGTAATTTAAAGTATTCATTGTTTAATTTCAATGTTTTGTTTTTTTTTAGTTTAAGAGCAAAACATGGCAATGACTGGGCAGCTATAGGTGGTGCTTTAGGACGTAGTGCTTCATCAGTAAAAGATAAATGCAGACTTATGAAAGATAACTGCAATTCAGGTAGCTATTAATATTGCATTCTTATTTTAGGGTAAAGATGTATGCATTTCAATATTTGTATCTTAACATTGTTTTTGTATGACCTATCAGGTAAATGGTATCCAGAAGAGGAAGAAAGGCTGGCTGCTGCGGTGTATAAGTTAACTGGGCTCAAACCTTGTAAGTTGGATAATATAATGTAGGACCTTTGACCTAATGCCCAAGGCTAGGTTGTCGCTATAGTTGGCTAAAAATTTGAAATGTTAACTCAGTTGATGGATTCACAGTAGACTCTTCAATGGATAATTTATATGACTGTTTGCAAAACTTAATTTAAAAATGAAAAACATACAGTTAGATGGTCTTTATTCATTTGATGATTATTATTTTTTAATATGACAAATATTGTTATTTAATGTTAACTGAGTCAATATATAACTATTTCATTGCTTTAATTAATTCTATCTGCAGCTGAAAGCATCACATCAGGCCTGTCATGGGCAAGTGTGTCTGAACATGTTGGAACTAGATCTGAGAAGCAGTGCAGAACAAAGTGGTTAAATTACTTAAACTGGAAACAGCAAGGGGGTGCTGACTGGACAAGAGATGATGATACAATGCTCATTGAAAAGTAATGGGACATAAATTGTTGGGTCATTTTTTTTTTTAATTTATCCTCTTTGTTTAGTTTTCTGTTGGCGAAAATGTAAGCAGTAACAGTATTTCAACAAGTATAAGTTGTATCTAGTATTCCACCCAATGTTGTAAATACAATGATATAACAATAAATTGTAAAGCACCACTATTCAAGTTATTCAACCTTTTGGTATTGAAACCTATAGTACATAGTCAGGATAGATAGGAAAGACTTTAATTTTAAGTTGTATACTTTAAGTTTAATCTGTACAAAACATGTTATTTGTAATGTTTTTAATATTTACTGATAGATAAAAGTTTATTCTTTTTTATTTTCATATATAATTTTGAATTGTAAAGTATAATTGTTTCTAATGTAGAGTTTCAAAAATGGATGTAACTAATGATACTGAAATAGACTGGGTAGCACTGTCACAAGACTGGGCCAGGTACAGCATTGCACTTTACCTCCATTTGATTTCCCTCATTAATTATTCTCCATGTAAATTAGATATTACCTCCCCTTGAATTAACCTATCCATATGTTATCATCCATTTATTTCAGTGTGCGATCTCCCCAATGGCTCAGAGGCAAGTGGTGGGCTTTAAAGAGACACATAGCAGATTATAATAAGTTGAGTTACTCAGGTAAGAATTCATTTTTTTTAAAAGCTACTGTAATAATAATTTGTGTGAGTTTAACTTCTATACAATTGTAGTATCTTGTTCTTTAAATTATAATTTTATGATTGTATTATTAGTAGTATCCTGGTAAAGATATGCCATTAAAATGTTTCAGCTTTGTTGGAACAAATGAATCAAGTAATTCACTGGAGCCAAAAACCCAAGCTAGGAACTAGACAGTTAAAATCTGATGGGGCTGGGACTTCTGATATATTTAAAGAGTGTATTCCAGTATCACTCACAGGTACGGCTAGAACTAGAGTATGTCTATATTATGTCTAAATATTGCTGACCAAAATATGTCTAAATATTGCTGACCAAAATATGTCTAAATATTGCTGACCAAAAATTGAAGAAACATGCACACTTTTCTTCATCCTATGTAAATTTAATAGTGCTATGTTTATAATTAATGTTCTTAAAATTTTCAACACACTACATCTGTTTACCTCTCTAATATTTGATATAGCTGGTGTTGATGGAAGCGGTTCTCTTTCCTTGTCTTACTGCCCGTCTGATGAAGAGGGCTTTCAAGCATTTGAAGTTCTGCAGCAGTGGACGCCCCAGATAATCACACAAGCTGCCACAAGCAGTGATGGTGACCAGGGTATCCTCAGTGGTGGCACTAGTCATATTATAGTCGCAAACTTGGGTGTAAGTTTTTACAGCTTCTCTTAACCATGTTAACACAAAAAAATCCTATTTTTAATATTCCTAATATTTTTATATATGTAGCAACATTTACATACCAAAATAAATCTTTAAGATAGTTTATCCGGATAGTTTTTTTGAAAGTGAAGTAACTTATAAACAATGAGAAAATCTGTGTGTAGTCTGCTATCAGTGACTCCATTCAACTGAATGGCCAACAACAAGTTATCATCAACACAACAGCAGTGTCAGCAGATGATGATGCAGGGGAAGGAATAACTATACAAGAAGACGGACTGGTTCAAAATGATCAAGGTATTAAGTTGTTTAGGAAAAACTGTTCTTTGTTTCCTAATTAGCCTACATTACAGTGATGAGATATATTGTTCTACAACTTAAAATACAACTTTTAGATTTGAGCAATGACAACCTTCATGATGGTGATATAAACTCGTTTACCACAAGTGGAGAAGAAATTACAGTTTCAGAGTATCACAGTCAGGTGATTTTATCTGTTTTATACTTGGATAGTATTGTAAACCAGTTTGTATTTTACAGTAGTATTGTACAGTAAGTTGAGTAAGACTGAAACCTTTTTTTTTCTTATTTAGTTTTTTTCAAATTTAAATGAATAACATTTAAGTTATTGAAATCCAACCAATTTTAGCATTATCTATTCTAGGGTTACTAATTACATATAGTGTGTTGCAGATAGACAGAACATTTGAATTTACTCCAATAAAGTTTACATAAAATGTAGATTGTCAATTTTTGTAGTGTTTACCTAAGAACTAATGTAATATTTTTGTAACATAATATAGTCTTGGCAGTTTGATACTTTTAATTCTGGGAATATTTAGGACAGTTGAGAAAACATCTGTTTTACCTTCTTATTTTCAGCCAGAAACTGGAGATATGATGTCACATGATGTATTTGAAACAGTTACAGCTGAGTCTAGCAGTGATCTAGTCATGGGAGTTACTTCCCCTCACCATGCAAGTAGCCTCATGACTAGCTTGAAAGGTAAACCAGTTTCCTTTTTTACTACCTTAAGATTGTTTCCTTTAGTAATGAGTTAGTCATTAGCCAAGAAAGCCATAGACTTTAATCTTTTCTCTTTAAAGTATATGATTGTGTATTTATATGTTCTGTTGTTGATTAATCACTGTAACCTTGCATACTGTAAAACTTTAGTTACACATTTTAGATTTTTAAATTACTTCAGGTAATATATTCTAAGTTATGTAAAGTTCCCCTTCCATACTAACGGTCTATGGGGCAAGTGAAGTACATTTCACCTGTTTCTGTGACCTCGACATATGAAAGGATAGTGTGGTCAACACTATGCCCAGCCGTCTGTACTTTCCCATTAGGTACCCATCAGAGCTGGGTAGACTCAGGGATGGTGTACTGACTTGAACTAGATTCAAACTAGAGACTTACGGGTTAGCAGTCTAGCTCTCTACCACTAGGCCACTCCGTCCCTTTCAAGTAATGTGTTTCTTATTATTTTTTACCCCAGATCCTATTTTAATGTCATCCTCTGATGTGGAGTGTGAGAAAAGCCAGAATGCTGATGAATCAGCAGAACTAACTGACTGAATCAAAAAATGGCAATGTACTTCTTTTCACATACACAGCTTAATCCAAAAATACTTGTATAGTTTTTCTTTATAGTGATTAATCATCTTCTTTATTACATCCCAAATAGGCAATTTTAGTCTCTTAGTTCCAGTTGAATAAATTGTATCAGAATGCTCAGTGAAACGAAACAAGTATTATCTTGTAGAAACATATGAAGAGATTAATTTCTTATAATAATGTGTATATTATGTTTATTTATGTACAACTTTAAAACTCCAACTGTAATACTGTGATCTGAGTAACATTATGTTCAACAATGCACGTATTTTTTAAAAATAAAATTTGCACTGAATATTGTGCTGTTTGTGTACTGGTAAATTTATCTTTTTAAACTTTTTTAGCAATGGTAAAATGTTGATTTGCTAAATTTGATAAAATACTGTTTGTAAATTCATCCAAATTCTTTTCTTTTGTATTGGTGATTACAGTACAGTAGGTTAATTCTAAGCACATGTTAAAGTTTCTAATGAATTCTTAACATTTTTCAACATTTACTTTAGGGTGTTTTGAAATTGTTAGTCATGTTAAGTGCAATATTTTACTTATTTTCTGTGTTTTTATGGAAATAAAGTGAATATTGAATCTTTGATGCTTGACTTATTTGTAATTTTATATACAAGTTTAAGGAATTTAAGTACAGTGTTATCTGATAAAATGTCTCAGTTTACTATAATACTAAGCATTCAATAGTAAAAATTAATTTTAATATAAGGCTTCTGTAAGAGTTGGCATATGTTTAATGCGACTTAAAAAAAAATTTCACAGGCAACATTAACAATTAGTTTACAATAATAAAAATAATTTTTCACTTGCCACAAATGATACTTAGTTGTGAAAAGCATTTGTAAAGACAAGTTAATATAAAAAGACAGTTCATTGTCATGTCACTCATTGAACATTTGCACATACTTAAATTACATATTTACCACAACAAATAAAATCTTTTTATAATTCAGATTATACAGCAAAAGCTGCGTATATTTTCACAAGTATTTTTGCACATTGTCATTTTTTCAGTAGAATACTTCAAGTATACTCATCACTTGTCCAGTGTGACAGCAATATGTCAGTTTTCCTGAATAATTTTCCATGCTATTAACAATAATACAATACACAATGTCAATCTGATATCATGACGGAAATATATGTCGATATGCTTCAGATAATGAGGTTAATATATATATACAATATACATCTTAAATTCAAGTGATAAATATTTATTGTAGGTTAAAACAATTATTTTCTAAAACAATTTTAATGTTTTTTAAATTAGCTTGTATTTGCAATCACAGTTGCAAAAAAGACATCTGCTATGATTTCATTATAAGTGCAGTAATACAACTGGTCAAGTTTCTATGTACCTGCTAATATTAATGCATTATTTAGGTTTAATTAAACATCATTTTGTAAACATTAAAAATATTTCTATAAATGACAAAACAGAGTTATCTAAATGGCTTTGTCTTAATGAACATTTTACATGCTTTATTTATTTACAATTCTGTTTTTGATTTAAACAAAAACAATATTTTTACAATAATTGTGTTTCAGTCATAAAAGGGAACCAATAAATAATACTGAGCAGTAACCACTGGTGAAGTCAGTTAAATATTAATACATATTTTTAAAATAAGTAGGACTCTGAAGAAATTTGAATTTTTCACTTGAAAGACTAGCCCAAACAAAACTTCAAAAAAGCTTTGATTTCATTTAATGCATTCAAACTACACAATTAATGTAATTGCTGAGGTTATATTTTTACATTTTCTTAAACGTTTTCATTCAAAAGAAATCTTCTATAAGCAGAAATTTACTATGGCAATACAATGTTCAAAACAGATTATAAATATAATTAAAATAGATAAAACTCTTGTTAAAATTTCATCCTTTTTGACTTCGTTTAGCAACCCCATGTATATACAGATTGCCTACAACACAAAGCAACACAATAGTGAAAGCATTGTAGAAAATCATGGTTCGAAATTTTGGTTCAAGATCTCCTAAGCGATACCAGTACACCTGTATAAAGAAATAATATATTTAGATTAGCATATTCAAGAAACCGCAGATTTTTAAAACTGTTAAGTATGCCTAACAAAGTAAACTAACTGGGAAATAAATTTTCACGGTGACAAACACAACTTTTTTAATGTTGATAATTTTAAGTAGCTGAAGTGTTTGATTAAGTTCACAGAACTCCATTTAAAATCTTACATTGAATAGACATGGAAGAAATCAACTTTTGAAAGGTTGGGACTCACTTTAATCATAATTATTTTTTTTAAAAAAGATTAAAATTTAGCTATATATATTAAAATGGTGTATTGCTCACCAAAACTAAATGCGATGCACAAATGAGAACAATGACTAGTGCAAAAAACACATTGACTCCATCTGGTGGCCATTGAGGAAATACAAAGGCACTTATCAAAGTAACCTGTGTGAAGGGGATAAAACAGTTCACTTTCAGAAAAATATCCTATAACAAATAATATTTTTAAAATCACTTAAATATAAACTAAGTTGATATTTCCATTTTTTTTTATTAGTATCAGAAATAAAGGCAGCAGTGAATTGATATTGAAAATAAAAACTCGGTAAACCTTCTATACAAAAGTATTATTTAAATGAAAATGCATAAAAATAAACATGTTAGAAAATTAAATTAATTAAAAATTAACCATGCATTAAATACATACCAGAACTATTATACCAGTTACTGTGCCAATTACAAGGTTCACAACACGATCCTAAAACCATGTGAGAAAATTATCAAGTAAAAGCAACTAACAAAATGTATAAAATAGCATAAGAAGTTACTTATCCAAAGATAAAGCTATTTTTGTGAATTTATATATCATGTGCATTTAAAAAATTTAGCTCTAAAACATTATAAAACATGCTCTTTAAAATATGACTAATATTTCATGTTTCCATTCTTCTTCTTACCAAAAGTAAAAAAAAGACTTACAACTGATGATGGGGCTCCAAAAAGGGGACGATCAAGGGGATCAGTCTCTCTGTAGCGTTCCATTTGTGTTGCTCAAATACTGATACTCATCTACAGCTGTGTGTAAAATATCAGGCTCATTTCAGAGGGTTGTAACTTTAAGAAACTGCTGACTTATTATTTAATGGCTCCAGTTATCTAAGGTAAGTCTATATTCTTGATGGCTATGATCTAAGTTCTCTTTTGCAAAACTTGAGTTGGATAACAGAGATATGAAATGTAATTATAATTAGTAAAATTGAAACATCATAAAATTTGATTTAGTTTAGTACAAAGATCTTGAGTTTTGCATAAAGCCCCTATTGTTAACTATCTTATAATAATAGTAATGTTTTTTTTCCCTTTATACTCAATCTAAAATGGCAATGCAATGTTTTCATTCCTTTTATTCTTTTACTGATGATTGGATAAAAAAAATTGTTATATAAAATACTTAAAAAAAACTTTTTAAAAAACCACGTTTTTCTTGTGGACTAAAAAGTAGAAAATAACTATTTACATACATTTGATGACAAAAAACGTGGGTACGTTCACCATCAAATTTCCCGACCCATCTGCCCGACCCACGTTTTTTGTCATCAAATGTATGTAAATAGTTATTTTCTACTTTTTAGTCCACAAGAAAAACGTGGTTTTTTAAAAAGTTTTTTTTAAGTATTTTATTTTCTCCTTTTTAGTCCGTTGCTACACATGAAAAACGTGGTTTTTAAAAAAGTTTTTTATATAGTTTATTTTCTACTTTATCTAATGACTTGATTAAGTATGAATTGACTAAGTGTTTATAAATACACGGACTAAAAAAATCTTGAGCGACCAGGATTCGAACCTGGGTTGTCGCGGCCACAACGCGAAGTACTAACCACTATACGATCACGGCCAGCGCGCTCACATCGATTGGGGCCGAAGTAACTGTGTCTATAAGCCTCCAGTCTTGTCGGTATCTTTAGAAATCATGTCCTCAATTTTATGGTCCTTGGGGCGTAATTAAATTAAGCTAATTACCGTCTCTAATTGCTAGTTTTTATGATTGCATCTGAAATTGTTAGGCGAAAGTAGCCTACATGCCAAATTTCAGATCTATTGAGCAATCAGAAGTGGGTTAATTTTCGATGTCAATTTTAACAACAAACACACGCGAAGCTGAGTTAATAAAAACGTGTTAATAAAAATTGGGTAAATTTTGCTAGTAAATAAAACAAGAAGCAAGAGGATAGAACTTGCATGACCAAAAATTATGATTAATTGGTTATTAGGACTGGCATATATTTATTTTTTCCAAGGCTTTAAGTAATTCATAAATAAAATTTTAAAAATAAAACAGATAACCGCCCAGATGGCCATGCTGTATGAAAGCCTTGAATGTATGTTAATCAACCTCCGTAACAGTGAACATGAACACCCATCAGCCTAGGTATTAGGGGTTCTTTCAGGAGCCCCTGGTTACATTCCTGCAGTTATCGAATTTGTTATTATATGTAAGCCCTAGTGTAGGATGCTTTTTTAAACAAACAGGCACCATAGTGCTCATACTCATCGGGGAGCCCAGGTGCTCCATGTCACTTGACTGCTGGGGTGTTGGATGCCACCCATGTTGCAGTTTGACGTTTGAATCAAGTAGTACCCCTGAACCCTTGTGAAGGATGCCCAATCAACTGATCCCAGGTGCTAAAATAGCAGCTGAGGAACTACGGGTATCAAACCACACCTTACTACCAGCCTCTGCCCCACAGAAAAAAAACCTTCTCAGAAGTATTTTAATTAACCTCCCAAAGATGAATGGCATGTGGATTAAAGGTGTAGTAATGCACAAAAGACATATACACACCAAAAATAAAACAACCCACAAACATATTATTAATTACGAGCCGTCCCGCGGTGTATCATACGCCGCTATTTAGTTGTTTTTTCTACTTTTCAGTAATTCATAATTTGTGAATTCGACAGTACCAATGCTGCCACTGAAAATATTTGCTTTAAAACACTAAACCCCCCCCCCTCCCCCGTGAAAGCAGCCTCCTCTTAGTTACCTCCTCTAAGTTTAAAATAGTTTCAAACTGAATTATCTGCCCCTAATAGCCGTCACCAAACTAAATATTTAGAGTGAACTACAACTCACCTGACCATGTGAGGGGGGGGGGGTGGTAGCGATAGAAAGGAAGAGAGGGGACTGCATGGGGCGCGCTTGCAGCTTGTTTTCTAACGGCTCCCAGAAGAGAATTATAGATATTTACCTATATTATATTATCATTATAATTAGGCCTAGGTATATTGGGCTATAGGGCCCATATTTTTTATTTAGATCTAATAGGCCTGCTAATAGTACTACTAAGTGCTCAACTTATTAATATTATAGGCCTTCTTAATTAAAATTATACTACTAGCAGTAGTTTGACTATGCCACTACGGTAAAACAGACCTTCTTACTAAGTTCTTAGGCGACTGTTGCCACTGTTGGCCTAAGTTTACTAAGTTTATAAAGTTTAAGTACTCACTGCAACACAACAGTTCAGTAGTAATATAACTAGTGTAATAGTCTAATAGTAGATTTAGTAGTCTAGTAGAGATTTAACTAAACCTAGAATCTATTCTAGACATTCTACAGATCTAGAATTCTAGATTCTACTAGATCTACCACTAACTACTACCGTACTAGAAAGGTAGCCTAGCTAAGCTAGTCACAGGCTCTGTACTCACAGTCACAGGTATTACTATTCACTACTATTCATTAAATTAACTTAGTATTAAGTTTAAGACTAAGTATTGTGTAAGTAAGAGTATAAAAGTGGAAGAAAGTGGAAGTGGAAGAGATTGGCTAGATCTAGATTTCTAGATCTAGATCTAGATCTGGAAATCTGATTCTAGAATTTATTTGATACTTGTAATAATTACTAATTACATTAACAGATTAAAAATTGAATATAATTTCAATTTAGCTGTCTTATTATACTACAGCTGATTGAGTTGATCATTTGTCATTTGTAGTTTTGTTGATAATAATATGAACTAGATCTAGATAGGTTCTAGGGAGTACCGACGAAGTCTCAGCTGGATTCATTACAATAATATTAATAGTAGAATCTATAGGTTATTTCCCTTTGTGTCATTGTTTTTATTTTCGTTTACACAGCTAATTTTAGCAATCATGTGACCAAAAGATCTTTCAGTACTGGAATTCCCACCCAATTTTTACTATAATTTGCCTCCCTCTGTTCATATGGCGTTTCATTTTTAGTAACAGCCCTTCTACCTTTTATTAAATGTCTGCGATTCTAAATCGCAAAAAAGTTTTTTAGATAAAGTAATTCCTATTACTATTATTAGGTTAGATAACTGATCTATTTTACCCGATGGCGCAAGTTCTAGGCCAAGATCTTTAATGACATAACAAGAGCCCAGCTTAAGAAATAAAATAATCGAGATTTTCTTGGGGGGGGGGGGGGGCTAAGAGATGCCTGGAAGCAGATGCGTATCAAGGGGGGGTACATATGTCCCTGGGCGCCGACCTTAGGGGGCGCCAAAATGGGTTGGAAAAACAAATTAAAATCTCATTTTAGCTGCAGTTTTGTATTATAAATATAAAAAATATAGATCTATGAGGGTGCAAATTTTGAGGGGGGGGGGGGTGCAAATTGAAAGTTTGAGAGGGGATTGAAAATTGAAAGTTTACTCCCAAGGGGGCGCCAAATTGAAAGTTTGTCCCCGTGTGCCGGGAAGGGTCGCTACGCCTCTGCCTGGAATAAACTGTTTTCCGTTCGTGTACTACAGACCGAGCCTGAGATCGGGCCTCGAGACTTTGGGGTTAGCAGTCGTGAACACATCGTTCAATTTAATACTCAAGCGCAATGTCTTTTTAAAATAGTGAAGCCAGAAAGAGCACATACAATTACGGATAATGCAGAGTCGCAAGTGTTTACCAACCGTGTTGCCCAATATACCATGGGTCATGGGGGTAATAGGACGACTGATAAATAGCCACATTCTCAGCCATACTGTGTAGTAGATTCGGACGCACATAAAAGTTGTGAAAAAAAATCGACTGCAATAGGAAAACAAGGCTTAGAATAAAAAGACTTAAATTTAAAAGTAATAAAAGTGTGCTGCTCTAGATCTATAAATAATTATGACTAAGTACCGTAACGCTTGTGATAATTATTTACCTAATTCTCGATATATAGACTAAACTATCAGTAGTGTCACTTCCGGCTAGAAAATGGAACAAGTAAAACTTGCTCCGCTACGTTCTATGAATGATTTTTTATTCGAAACTGCAAGGTTTCAGATTCCACAAATTAATGATCCAGAGAAGTGGTCGAACAGAGTATTAAACAATTTGCTTTACTACCAGACCAATTATTTTCTTACTGCATTACTGATTTTTCTAGTTATTGGGTGAGTCCAGACTTGTCTGTCGTCATCAGACATCAGTTCATGAGTTGGACTTTTAAAAAAAATTAGATCTCTAGATAATCTAGATATAGATCTAGACTAGAGTAGAGATTCTATAAAAGTATATAATAAAAGGAACAGGTTTAGAAATTATTCAAATTAAACAATAAATGTAGGTCTTTAACAAGTCACTAGAAATCTGTGGGGGGGGGGGGGGGGGGGGGCTTGGAATGTTAGATAAAAAAGTGAGAGCAACTGGACAATTTTGACCAAAATGTTGAAATATTTTTAAGTAGGCCTAGCCCATTTTTTAAAGGGAGTTTTGGTTCATTAACCAAAAGTCTTTGTCAAATTTTTATTCATCCCATTAATAAAGATCCTGCTTTCTCCTCCTGTTTTTTGGACAAAACCATTCAGGCATTCAAATTTTTTTAGGGGTGGGCGGATTATATTCTCAAGTGAAGGGGGCTGACACTGGTAAAATTATATATTTTCTAGGCCCTAGGCTATATAAATTGTATTTGGGGGAGATGGTCTGGACCCCCCACCCAAAGAGATGCCTGAAACAATACATGCAGACCACTTTTAAGATTAGATTTAAAAAATCATGTATCGATGACGTCATTTTTTTTTTGTGGCATTAGATTTCTTTACTCTAAAATCAATGTAGCTTTGTAAGAAACACTGCTCGCATTTGTAGATCATACAGAATAAAGGAATTTTTTCAGCATTGGAATTTTAATTCTATGTTTACTCTAGAATCATTGACATTATTTTATTTTTGTTCTTTTCTGGCTTTAGAACTGTAAATATGTTGTTTCGTTTTGAAAATTATCTATATGTTCCATGTGATGTCTTGGTCGTGGGAAGTATTGTTTTTCGTTTGACTGAAAGTTTCTCTAGAGCGTTCCCTCTAAGCTGCGCGGCCGCGCAGTAGTTTTAAACTGCAGCGCAGAGATTTTTGTAAAATAAATATACCCTTGTATAAGATTTTTAGAACATCGCGCATACAAAATACATGTTGCACATTAGCTTTTCCCCCTTACAGGGAACATTGGTTCCTGACAGACAGAAAGACAGAGTGAAACAAACAGAATAGTCTAATTATTATTATAGATAATATGCAATTGTTTATATTTTTATATAATATTTATCATTTCAGAATAATTCACCCTGTTCAGATACTCTTGGGTTTTACTGCTTTAGCCATTTGCTTTGGAGTGTTTGTCTATTTTACTAATACACAGAATAAAGCAAAACGCTTTAAGCATGATCACCCAATATTCTGTGTTGCGGCCATTATAGCTGCAGGGTATTTTGTGGTGTACATGTTTGGAGCTGTACTTGTATTTATGTTTGGAATTGCATTTCCTATGTTGTGTAAGTATTAGCTATTTACCAAAAATTAGCACTGAATGCTTATTCAAGAATACATGTGCTTAAAAGCATACCGGCTAACTTGAGTGTTAATTTAAAAGTCATGATGTTTTCATTCAGAAGAAATCTACAATACATAGATATTTTTAAAAAATTTAGCATCATATTACTTAAATTTTATGTTAAGTTATAAACATTTTTAATTTAATCACAGTGATCTTGATCCATGCATCTTTACGTTTGAGAAACTTTAAAAACAAAGTTGTGAACAAGATGGAGTACGTCGGGCTGAAACGAACACCCATGGGCTTGATCCTAGAGGGGCTGGGGCAAGAGCAAGAAGCTGGATCATGAATAAAAAAATTAGTTGTTAAAAGAACCAATTTGTTTATTAACTTTAATATTAACTGATTATCATATACATCTGTTTTTATTGAAGTTTTGTAGATTATTATGGATATAATAGCTTAAGAAACAATAGTAAACAATGCATTTATTTTATCCTACCCAACCTAATTATTTTAAATTATTCTAAACAGCATTTAATTTTCAATTCACAGTTTTATTTATAATGTGTTTATGTTATCGTTGAGAATTTTTTTGTAGTTGGGTTAGTTTTTAAAAATTCTATATATCTTATTTCTGTATAGTTTTTTTTTTTTTTTAAATATGTTCAACATTCTGATAACTTAAACATTACCACACCTTTATGTCTGATACACTAATATTAATTTATTGGCTATTGGTATAAAATAAATTCTAAAAGCAATAAAATTCCAGTCTATTTAGTCTGAATTTAATAGCAGCATTGGATCTATTCTTTCTTCACTCAAAATATGTGGAGATGTGCAAATATCTCTACACTATTTGTGTTTGAATTTTTTCAACTTAAATATTATATCTAATCTCTATCAAAACTATCTGTTCTGAATGATATAGTCTTTCATTGTAATTGTATGAGATTAAAACTAAAAATTATTTAAATAAAGGAATAAATTATGACATAGTTTGTTTTCATATATTACAGCAAGTGTTCTAGTTCTAAAATATTAGTACTTTAGTAGTATTACTTTTATTCTGTTGGCATTAAACAGTAATGTTCATTACAGCTTAATGAAGGTAATTGCATAGAATATTGTGATGGCTTGTGTTTTTGTTTTCAGTTTATTTTGATACTTGCATACCCTAAATACACACATTTTATGACTCTTAACATGAGTACCTACATAAAACCATTCCTGCTGAGTTTGTACAGTACTAAGAGCTGCTTCAAGTGGGTTTCTTTTTATTATTTACCCATATCGCATACCATTGGATTTAGTTAGTTATGAATTGAACAATCCCTCCTAAATGTTGCACATGTTCCTTCTTTAATCTCATTCACTAGTTAGGGTATGCTTGTATCAGGTTTTTCTACATATGCAATTGATTACCATTCATTTTTCATTATTTTATTAACAAAAATCGTAATTAGTTTTATTATTCAATGACTAAATTTGGGTATGTAAAATAAAATTTGTTGGTAATTATCCTATTTACATTAAACCAAATGGTGTAATATCACTGGGGTTAGTTGTCATTCTTATATCTCTATTTTAATCTAACAACATTATAGCTGTTCAAAATTTTAGCAGTAAAGACTTTGCTTTTCCCTCACTAATTTTTTTAAAATAAATATATTATTTTTTTACACCAAAGATAAAAACTGCTGATTTAGTAGAAGGTGGTAAAAAATATTCATCTGACATTAGATTTTTTATGACAATAAATATCCCCTAAAAAAAGTACGACTTAATAATTACCTTTAGCGCTATAAGTAAAGCGTTTCTTTTTTTCAGGCAATTGACATTCTCTTTTGAGACACTTTTACACATAAAATGTTTATTTAAACTGATTTCTTATTAAACAGTAAATTACTCAAATATGGATTTTGTCAGATGAACACCTATAAAGGAGCTTGTCTAATGGAATATTTAGAGTATTGAATTGTTGAAAGTTACAGAAACATTGGAGCAATATTTTTTTTTGCACATTTGTTTTATTTCTTGTTTATTTTCAAAGTGTGGTTCAGATGTTAAGAAGATTATATAATTGTATATTCGACTATCCTTTTATAGTAAATTACTGGTTTTGAAAAGCATCAAAAAAACTTAAATGAAACAGAATGGTTTGTTTAAAATTCAAATAGCCAGCTTTGATTAAATAGAGTTTTAAAAATAATGAATGATATAAATGTGTCATCAACAAAGAAATATATACTTTTTCTGATCTTAAATGCAATAATTTTCAATTTATACATATTTGTCTTTCACTTTTATCTTAGTGCAAACATTTTTGTTTAAAAACTTTTTAAAGGATACAAAAATCTCTATGAATCTCCCTACCTGTTGTATCTCATTGTAAATCGAAAAGTATTCTGCTAACTAAATGGGATGTTGAAACAAAAAACTATTTTATTTGATCATCTAGAATTCTAAGCTGACAGCAATATTAAATGTACAGCTGATCTTGAGAATTTGACTGATACATGAACTTTGTAATACATACACTGTGTAAATGAAAGTATGGGCATGTTTATTAATTGATTTTGCGTGGTTATACTAACATTACAAATGGAAGAATTGTTTTACATTTATTTAAATAAATGGGTTTTTTTGTCCAATGTTTTTACACACAAACACTTTTTTTCATTCTGATTTTGTGCACCATGTCCTATGTAGAAAATACATGTAGTATTTAAAGCAAAAGTTACATCTGGAATTCAGTTGTTCCACCCTGTGGCTCAATTTGTGATTGCATATCTCAGTACTTTTTTTTAAAACCCTCCATATTTTGACATTCACTTTATATTTTCTCTTCAATGAACTATTCACAATTTTAATTGCTTAGAGTTGTACCTTTAAATGTGCTATCAACAGAGGTGAAATATTGATAATTTTAATGTTCTTTATTTTTAAAAATTGAAATATTTGTATCATAAACAGATAATTCAATACACTTAAGTTCATTTTTTAACATTATTTTATTTTGAATAACTTATTAATGGTTATTTAAATTTAGCCATTTGATTTGGGGTAAAACTAGTTTTAATCCTATTACTGAACTTATTTACATCTATTTTCTATATTTCCTAATACATTATTTATAGGTCATATTAAAGAAAACCACCAGTGCTGTGCTTCCTTGAAATAAATGTTTTTCTCTTATTTTGGCTTATTTTTTAAAATTTGAATGCAGCATCGCCCTTTATTTTGCAAAACGGAAAATACAAAAATGCAACTGTTGATAAACACATATTGTTTCATCTGGTCATTAAAAGAAAAAGATAAAAAATGTTTTAGGGGGGGAGGGGGCTCTGATAAAAAATTATGACGTCAAGAGCCATAAATTGACTTAAACATCAGTTGTTTTTTTACGTGTATAAGACTTTCCAGCAAGTAGTCTTGTTTCAGCATCTTCGAAGCCTACAACACGGGGGATGGGGCTTAACTTGTGACTTTTTGTGCTGGGCTATGTTGGTTAAGAAATTAAGTGTAGAAGTAGAATTACAAAACATGAAAGAATCTAAGGAGAAGAATCAGGTTTTTTATGGGAACGGGAAAGAATTATATTTCATAATCTTACTTTTTTAGCAGATATTTTACATTTTTAAAAAACATAGTTTCAATAAATTGTAAGGAAAATCGATCGGTGTGTGTGATATTGACAAAGAATTACTTTTTAAACTAAGCAATTTTGCTTAGGACGTTCAATCGGAGATTTTTATAGGAAGGGAAACAACTTAGTTAATATTTCTGATGAAATTGTCTAAGCCAAGTTATATCCCCTTATTCGAAAAAAAAAGTGAAGAATGAGATAGGACGGCTATGTTTGACGTCATTTGAGAAGCTGTTTAAGGAAGACCCGGTTAGATATAGATGTTTGTTGGGAATTTTGTGACGTGCTAACGGGCAGGGTTAAACGTTACGTGAAAAAGACAACATCTACACGACGCCAGGCCTCCACCATCCCCCTGCCGTCCCCGATTTCCTTTTACCCTCTTTATCATAAACTTTATGTAGACCTACACAATTCCTTTACGCACCTTTTCCGGAGAATAATTAAATAAATTGAAAACGATTTTCATATAGAAAAAAAAATGCTAATAAACGCACCTAACAGAAACTACGAATTTAAAACTGTCATGTTAAGTAGCCTAAATATCATACATATTTGTCTTGTTAATGACTCGTCGCAAGTATACCTCTTGGCTTACTTCTTGGCGCCTAGCTCAGCGCCATGCATGCGTGAGGTGCTTTTTCTTCACAATTTCAATTTACTTAAACGCCAGTACCATCTGCTGTTTGCGTTATTCCTACTTGATATGGACCGTCAACCACGTACAGATAGATCATAATTCACAAGTGCAGCCTTTTCTCGAGTTGTCAGGTTTGGATTTTAAGATCAGTCTAGAGACGCAAGTTAATTGTTTACGTAAATTTTGCCCCGTAGAATAAGCTTTTGCTCATCTATGCCAATACTTATCCTGGAAGTGAAATTGCAGGCCCCTTGCATGTCAGTTGATCCAAAACAAGTTAATAAAAAGTCTAGTGACAATTTAAGCGCAATCTCCTTAATTAATTTTTAGTGACCGAACGAAAGGATATTTTTGAAAACTTTCTTCGGCAATATTGTTCTAAATTATGACAGGAATTGATTGGTAAATGTTTCAAGTCGCTAAGTGGTCTGGTTGCCGAGATATGGGCCAAAAACTGCATTTTTTCGAGGTTTTTTGGCTTTTCCGGGAAATCCAGGAAGGAATTCCGGAATTTTTTTTGGCCAACAATCATCCTCGGAACTTGCTTAACATATTTGCTTTGAAACTAGTCCTCGATATTGCTTCGTTGAGGAGGAGATACGACTTAAAGCTGGGGATACACATCCATCCAGAAATGACGAGTTAATAATCGCAATTGTCCGTATGGAAATTGCGCTAAAAACATGTACAGATGCGCACATTTTTAGGTGGATTGTGTAAGAAACTATATACAAATATATATGGGGGGGGGGAAGCTGAATATATGTACAGAAAAATAAACACATTCTCGCTCAAATTAAAAAAAAAACGTTAGTAATAGTATAGTAAGAATAAAGGTGGTCAGAACGTATTACAGATGTAAACGAAAATATACCCCAATACATCGGGTAAATTTAGTTAAAACCATTGAAAATACTGAGGGTAAAAGTAAAACTGTCTCTAAACCAAACTTCAGAAAAAGAATATCAATTTTTTTTTTCTACAAACTGATTCTAGATCTAGATGAAGTATTAGATTCTCATGTTTTTTGCGGTAACTATGAAAACCTAGGCTTGCCCAATTCAGTACTAAAATCTAGATCTAGATTTCTAGGTTCTCTCCCATCAGAAATGGAAAACGAAATGAGTACAAATAATTTCGCAAAGGCTATATTAAAATTACTGAAGAGGCTTAACAAAGTGAATTTGGATGGTATTTAAAGTCAACATAATGTATACATTAGGCTTCTAGATCTAGAGATGATAGAATTGGAATCTAGACAATTTTTTCTCTTAGTTTTTTAAGAACCAATCAGTTATTTTAATCATTTAAATTTTTTTCCTTACTATTGTTTGTAGGTTAGCCTAAATGACTAAAACCTCGAGATATATACGCCGCTACCAAAATAAGACGACAAGTTCTTTTAAATTCTGTTTATATTTATAATATAATAGCTAGTTTATAGATTCTATGTCATGTTATTATTTAAATTTATGTTATTGATTTAGCGAATTTGATTGTGTTTATTGACTGTGTGTTTAGCCCAGGATGATAAAGTTTTTAATTAATTATTTTTTCTAGCTTGAAGGCCTAATTAAATTAATTAATAATTATTACTAGAAGAAGCTCTACACTAATTAACTAATTTGAAGAATTTCCTTTTTAATACTTAGTAGATCTAGTAGTAGTATTTAATACTTTTATACTTACTTTATTCTTACTCACACTCTGTAGTTGACGGCTATATATATATATTTTATATATATATATATATATATATATATATATATATATATATATATATATATATATATATGTAATATAATATTTGCCCACTTTAATACTTTATTAACTTTAAGTAAGTGTCCCTTTCTTTTAGATGTAGTGATCCATGGAGCAGAGGAAGTAAAGATCACCTGTTATTATGACATCAGCAAATGACATCTGTAGTATGTAGGGATAGTGTGGTGAGCACCATGCCCAGCCACCTTTACTTGTATCCACTACAGCTGGGTGGACTCAGGCACTCCTATACAGAGTTTCTTCCAGGCATCTGTTTGAGGGGGGGGGGGTGGGCGGGGGCTCTGTGCCCCCTGAAAATAGTCTACCGACCCCCCCCCCTTTCCCCATTGAATGAAATGGAATTTATATAAGATATACTTTTAACAGTGTCCGCTCCCCCCCCCCCCCCCCTCCCCATAGTCTCAAAAGCCTGAAGTCACAAAAAAATCAAGACTTTGGGTTTAGTAGTCATATGCTCTACCTTTAAGGATTATGAAGTAGTAATCTAGAAAGATCTTTAGGTTTAGAAGTTTTTTTTAATATTGATTAAAAGTATTATTACTACTTTTATCATGTGATTATTATTAATATTATATCATACTGTAGTATTTACAAGGTCTTTAAGGACTTAATAAAACTATGTTATGAAATAAGTTTACATATATGGAAAATGCATCATATACGTTTAAAGAGATTATGGTATCTAATAGTATTTGGAGGGGAGATTGGAAGACGGGTAAAATATTTCATTGAAATTATGAAACATCATTCATAATATGGTTAAAAACAATAATATCAATATGCATTGTTGTATATATTGCATATATATTATATAACATGAATGTGGTAGTTAGTTTGTGGTGGTTTAGACCAGGGGTCTCCAAACTTTTCAGTCCGAGGGCCGCATTAACTGTGAAATTTCAGTTCGGGGGCCATTTTTTCCCGGCATGTCTTTCATTTTTCTGGGAAAAGTTCCTCAGCAATCACCGACAAACAATTTTTCCTTGGACAAAAAGATCTCCGCGGGCCGGATGAGGGGACTTCGCGGGCCGGATGCGGCCCGCGGGCCGTAGTTTGGAGACCCCTGGTTTAGACCAATGTGTTTTGTTGATGATGCTGGCTCACACTTTCTATTTTTAAAATATATTATGTGTTTTATTCATTATTTTTAAGTTCTAGTAAATTTACGTTTTTATTTTCTTAAATACATTTAGAAGCTCTTCATAGAGGTTGTAAACCATTTTATGTTGAGAACAAGCAGGTAGGCTTGATCAGGCCAGACTTTTTGACTCACTTAAAGCATTACACAGAGGAACTCCAAATAGTTGAAGAAGATTCTTATGCCAATAAAAATGGAAATAAACCTGGAGTTCACCTTTCATCTAAATACCATTCTTATAAAGAAAAAACTGAAGCTATGAATCGACTACTTGAAAATTTGAGAGAAAAAGATGTGATTCTTGCTTTACGTGGCTGGAGAAATGAGGTATTTTTTTTAAGGTATCTTACACGACTAACTTTATTGTTTAACTCCCCAAAAATGATTATTATATTGTGTAAGGAAGAATATGCATATATTAAATATCTTTTTATAAAATATATTTTCAAAATCAGATGAATTAAGCATTTGGAATCGAGGAGAAAATAATCTATCTTTTGTCAGAAAAATGCTATTAAAAACTAAAAATAATAATTGCACAAATTATCATAACCAATTTTTTTTTTAAAATATAGAACTATAAAGTTGCCCAAATGTACACAGAAAAGGCTCTTCTTGAAGTAGAAAGATCTTGTTGTGGTAAGTGAATTATCTGAACAGGTCTTTTAGTGAAACTCTACAAGATTTTTTTTAATACACGTTTTGATTTTAATAAATTTTTGTTTAGAAAAAATACACTAGCCTGAATGTCCTTTAATTTTTTCAAGTTTGGGTTAGTTGAAAGCTAACATTTTGAGGTAAAAAAAAAAGAGAGAGGCCTTATTAAGTCTTAAGAACAAAATAATTGAAGGCCCAGATTACCAATCAAAGTATCTCTTAAAAATGTGATACATGCTGAGTGTTAAGTTTGTCAGAATTGTAACTTCAGAAAAAAAAAATTCATTTGCCAATTTTATTTCATAAATTTTGTTAGAAATGTAAGGTTACTTAGATGACCAAATTAAAACAAAATCAACAAAAAGAACATATTGTCTTCAATAATGATCTGATCTGCATTTAATACAAGATTTTATAAATATTTCAATGTATTTCAATATTCTCTGCTGTAGGTTTATTTGGTTTTATTCAGTATGGAGTGCATGTAAATGGATTCACAAAAGATGATAATGGAGAAATAAAGATATGGATAGGCAAGAGATCAAAAACGAAACAAACCTTTCCTGACATGTATGATAATATGGTATACATAGGTTTACTTATATCAGCATCATGAGATAGTTAAAGAAAGCAAACATTAAAGTATTGCAAGATATGTCTATTTTAAGTCCTCTAAAAGATTGAATTTATCTTTTAAATGTTTCAGCAACACTAAATACAGGTATAAGAATGGGAAGCAGGTTTAAAACTGGCATCAATTTAGTTTGTAGTTTCTAATGTATATTTTCAAACCACTTCCAGTGTGCTGGTGGATTGGCCGCTGACCTTGGAGTATTAGAGTGTGTAAAAAAAGAATGTAAGGAGGAGGCTAGTGTTTCAGATGAAGTCCTAGAAGGATTGAAGTTTGTTGGCAACGTTAGGTGAGTAGTTATTTATAGTTTTTGCCAATCGGTTTTATTAATACAACCCCCCCCCCCCCTATGTAATCTGTTCCATAACCTAGAAAAGGTAATTTAACTAATTTTACAGGTCTAAGCATTTCAGTTTTTATATCCAATCTTAAACTAAAAGATTGATGCAGCTAATTGTGTTCAACAGATATTTCATTTTTTTCATTTTTAGTTACTTCTATGAAGATGAAAGGGGATTATTTCCTGAATGCCAATTTATTTATGATCTTCAAGTTCCTATTGATTTCACACCTGTTAATGCAGATGGTGAAGTTGCTGACTTTCACCTGTATTCAGTTGATGAGGTATGTACACCAGAACATGTGTACAAGTTACAACTGTATACTCAAACATTAAAGTTGGAGACTATAAAAGATATTTTTTTAAAGTTTAATTAAATACTATTTTTTGTATAGGTAAAGCAACTGATTATTGGTGATAACTTCAAGCCAAATTGTGCAGCAATATGTCTGGAGTTTCTTATAAGACATGGTTTTATTAACCCAGACACAGGTGAAACAATTTCAATTTATTTGTATGAATAGCTAAACATAAAGTTAGCATTTATTTAAATTGAACATTTCACATAATATTAAATTTGACTACTTGCTTTTGCTTTGTAGCTAAATAATTAAAATAATTTTTTTCCCCAGATCCCTATGTAAGCTACTATGTAGAGCAACTGCATGCCCCACTACAAAGTTACTATGCTGGCAAATAGCATGCTCTGTGAAATGATAGGAAAACATTCAAGGAGTCTTATTTTCTTTCCTTCAATTTGGACATATTGAAAGCAAGTTCACCCTGTAGCTGCTTGTTTGAATGTTTTTAAATGAATTAAAAGATAAAAAAAAAAATGAACTTCTTTTTCTAAGACTTTGTTGTTTGAACATATGACTGCCAACCTAATGGTCCCTGGCTCATTCATTAGGCCAGAAAACTGAATTAATGTTGGGAAAAGTTACTGTAACATTCTTGTAGCATACTTTTGAAATACATAAATATTTCTATACTTACCCGACTGACTAAAAAAAATGGGGAAATAGTTTGAAGTAGATTAAATCCAGCTGGTCCCAGCCAGAAATACCCTTGTGCTATGGCATTGGAAAATACCAATCATATTTTACAAGACTGCACTTTGTACCAACAAACTTGGTCTAGACTACAGCCCAGCAACACACGACTTGGAGAAAAATTGTTAGAGACAACGGTTCAGTTTACAATGCTTGACTAGATGCATGAACCTCCAATGCAGACATTAAGAACCAAAAATCATAAAGCTTATGTCCTTAATGGACTCAAGACCTATTACTAGTATTAGTATCATATTCATAGCTATTCATAATATTTTACAAAAAACAAAACATTTTCAAATATTAAAAAAAAAAAACCTCAGAAGACAACTCATCTTTTGGAATTTCAGTTTATCAATCATGCTCTTTATGATATATGCAATGATACTCAATAATCATGTATATAATTTTTGTGAAATAAGTTTGTTACAACAGGCTAAAATGAATCTATATTAGGCATTAATTGAAAGATCAACAGTCACCTTTCAACAATTTGGAGACTGCATCAGCCACAAGAATTCTAAACGACCTGTTATATTTTCACCTTATTTAAAAACAACTTAAATTCGTAAGGAAAAATACATGTTAATATTTTAAGCAACAAACCCTTACATGGACTTGTTTCCCTTTGCAGTTGAGTGTTGAGAAAACAGAAAAAGGTAAATCTAACATATGGTTAATTTAAAAAGTATGCATGCTGTACGTGTAATTTTTAATGGATATCTATTTTTCCATCTATACATAACCATACAAGTAACAATACTCTATAAATCCAGCCCTTATAGAATGGGGAAATAAAATTTTAAAACACTTCAATGTTGAAATATTTAAATAGGTAGTATTTAATCTTGATTTTAAGAGATGAATATAAAATTCTGCTAGCAGGAAATTAGTCATGTTGGTACTGCTAACATATCTAGCCAACATTAAAATATTTCAATTTACAGATTTTTGTACATTAATGCATAAAGCTAGAAAAGCTCTACATATATGAAAACATACAAAGAAAAAAATAATTGCTAAAACTGGCTGATATATCCTAATAATATAATGACTAATATAATAACCGAATATGTATGAAATACTTTTTATTTAAAAGGTATTGTTCTAAACAGCAGTTCAAAATTAATTGATATTGAAAGGGGATAAAAAGAGGTTATGGTTATAATTACCAAAATTAAAAACAAAGCAGTGATAAACTTTGATGATAAACTGTTCAGCTAAAATACTAAACCTTCTTACAAGATAACTGCTAAATTCATATATGCCTGATTTACTTTAATTGAAAACGTAGATGCTGGAAATTGCATAGAACATAATTAGACACAGTTCTCATAAATAATTTTAATAGAGCATACACAAATTCCCAAACCAAGATCTTGAAAAAAAATCCTGTTTTGTTGAAGATTTTAGTGCTAACTATGTCAATGTTTACTAAATTTAATACTTTTGTGACAATCTAAGTGAAAAGCTATGCCTAAAATGAAAGTCAGATGAGCATTTTAAATTGCTGATCTATTAGGTAAGCCTACTTACACAAAGTAACAGTCATATTACAAATTTGCTTTTATACAATTTATCTCAGATAAAAACCACCAACATAAAACAAGGAAATAGCATAAACACAAAATGTTTACAAGAAAACGCTGTAAACAATCTACTCCCCAGGTATTGCAACTTTTCTTGGAAGAAAAAAAAACAAGACAAAACTAAAGACAATGAGTAAATGCTGGCTCCCTAAAATTTTTGTTGCAGATTACTGTAACAAATTACGAGTCAAATTGTAACTTTTAATCTTCATGCTGCAACATTCTACCATTTCACACCAATACTTAAAAGAAAAAGTACACAAAACCCCACACAAATCTGGACAATAAACAAATGAAATGAAAATTTAAAAAATATTTTTTTTTGTTTTTTGAAATTCAGTATATGGTTACCAATGTACAGGTAGTCTTTATCAAATATTTAGAAAGAAAAGGGCATTTTATATTAGGCATTTAAAAAAAGCATACCTTATTTTGTAAAAGATTTTATAAATTACATTAGATATACACTAATCATATTGATCTCCCTTATTACTTTTCAAATCGCCTCCAATCTTATATCCCAAGATTTTGTTCCAATCTATTTTGGACCGAGTAACTGGCAGTTGACGGCGCAATGCCTTGAATGTTGTGTCAGACATTGTCTGATAGTTTTCTGAAAGAGCCCGTTGGTATTCCTCTTCAGCTTCAGAAACTAGGTGCACAAAATTCTTGGCTGTTTCAGCATCATTCTAAATCAAAAGAAAAAACATTTACTATCAATTCAATGCAGTGTTACTTTTATTTAATTATAAAAATAAACTATGCATATTTTCAGCTTAAATTAAAAGAAATACAAACCTGAACTTTAATATTTTGCTTTATGTCTTTAGAACTGACTAACTGCACATTTCCATCTTCGTAATAATGGACCTAAAAAGCAAAGAGTAGTTACATTAAAATATGTGTGGTGGGAGAATTCAAACAGCACAGAGATGCAACATTTTTCTGACAAACCACTCTAAAAATTAGTAACTCACCTGAACTCGCAATAAACCACTCACTTCAGCGGAACCGCCAGATTCTGGAAATGTAACAGACCACTGACCCCTCCATCTCCCATTCCTAAAAACAAAACAAAATCAACACATCTCAAAACAGCCAATGCTGATGAATTGTAGACTAAGCTAAAGTAAATTTCACAAGTAACTAATAAATTAAACAGATCCACTAAAATATTTGAGATTTATAAAACAATCCTGATAGATACTGTTGAACAAGATCCACGTTAAGATCTTAAGCTATAAGCCTTATTGAATGATAAAAACATGAAACTTACCACCAGTTCTTAGGTTCAAAGGCATGACTCTCTATGCAGGCAATAATAGTTATGTTTCCATCCCTGCTGTTACCATAGATAGTGGTAACACCATATTTATAGTGGGAGGTAATGTAGGCAGTAAGAGCAGTTTCAATAGCATGACGCCATGGTTCAGCTCTTTGGTCAATCTCTGCAGGTTGCACATCCTAATATAAAAAAAACAAAAACAAAACAAATAACAACAGAGCACAAATGCAAAAGAAGATAGATTCACAGGTCTAAATTAATATTTAAATTAACATTCAAATTGGTTTTATGGTAACAGTAAACCATATAAATAAAAAATTTAAGATAGCAAAATACTTTCATAATTTTTAAAAGGATTGGTAAGTAAACAGCGATTTAACAAACCTGAGCCTCTTTTCGCAAATGGTCATAACGGAAAGTCTGTTTTGAACGTGGATCTAAAAATCTATTATTTCCTAGATCTCCATGTTCTGTTATAAGTACCTAGCAGGAAAAAAAATGAGGGAAAAATATAAAGAGTACATTTTCTAAAGTTTAATAACAAATTAAAATTTAGCTTTTCAACAACATGGTAATATAATTTCATTAAAATACCAAAATTTATATTACCTGGTGTTCCGAGCCTTCAATTTTGCATGGTGTGAACTGGTCTTTATTGTATTGGGCAAAAGCACTGAAATAAATAATTTTAAATATATGCAAGTATTCCTAAACATTTAACATCACATTTAACATCGCAACATTAAAAAAAAAAAAAATTTGCATTAACATTTTTAATGTAAAGCTGAATGTAAAAAACATACCCTGAAGCACCCTCTTTGAGTAAAGTGTCTTCATTTACTAAAATTCTTACATCTGAAATAAGTAAATAAAATAGCATCAATAAAAACAAAAGTATTGTTTGCTATGTGGCAAAAATCAATTTGACTGCCAAAACAATGAAATTACATCTGTAACACAAAAACTTCAACTAATTCTTCTACTTCTACACATTAATATTTTTACCAAATTAATTATTTTTATTTTATTTTTAAAAAAAAAATTACCATTAAAAACTTCATTGAATTCCCCTGGTGGAGCATGAAGAATAAAGTTAGAGGCAATCCTCACCTGAATAAAGATTATACATATTATTATCTGATAACACTTAAAAAAATTAAGAACATCTATAAATAATATCACAAAGCTACTTTATATCCCTACCAATTATTCCAAACTCAGCAGCTCCAAAAGATAAACCTCAAAGGTTCTCTTAAATAACCCAACTTCAAACTAAAATGTATCACACATTTTTAATTTAACTGAAATATACTTAATATATTCTTAATAACAATCTTTGTAAAGATTGTTATTAAGAATATATTAATATTAATTAATATATCAGATTTGTTGAGTTTTTAGTTGTTTTTTTTTTCGTGTTTAGGCCTAACAAATTTATTTTTAATTTTTTTGCAGACCTAAACTTCCATTGATATGCTTCTCTTTAATTTTGGAATGAAACTAATGAAACTGAAAAACTGAAGCAAGCACTTCAGGGGTTAGGGTTTGTTTTCACTTTCACAACCAGGCACAGACTGGTGTTTTTTCCTGATAATGGACCCAAGCGAGAATAGTCTCAAAGGTATTTGTGAGGCCCATTAAATATTTTTTTAAATCATGCACGGTGTAATTAAAATTAATATGGTGATAAAATTGTGACTGTTTGGTTTTTTCTAGATGTATTAAACGTTTTAGTTTTAGTATTTTCAGTAATTAAACATAATTTTAAAAAGGCAAAAGCAATTTGGTTTTAACTGGTAATGGCGACATAGGTATAAACAATGGCATCCTGCTATTTGATAGGCTAGCATTGTACAAAATGATAACAAAAAAAGGCAGAACTAGGTCATGTGGATTAATTATGGATGTTTATTATTTAGTGGTCGTGTTTAAATTAAAAATTGAGTAAATTTTAGACTCAGCGAGAATAACTAAAATGTATCCTTAAACTCAAAAAATTATTCTAAAGTTCTCTAGATTTGCGACTTTTATACCATTGACTCTAAGAATATTAAATTATTTTTTGGCTTTAGGGACCTATATTTTTTATTACTTTTACAAACGCTAAATCTGACAAAAGCATGTTTTTAATACATGTCAACAGTATGATGAATGGAATGGTGGCCTCCATTGGGATTAGATAGAGTAGGCTACTTAATACTTATAAGACTCAATTTAATAAAATCTGCTCAATACAATTGTGGTTTAATTTAAAACTTTACTTAAAAGACTAAGACGATTAAAATAAATTTGAACAAGCATTTTTTAATTAAGTTTAGCTCTAGTTTTTTTTTTTTTTTAAAAAGCCTCTGTGTATCTGTGTGTTGCATGCTGATTAGTTAGACCACTTGTGTCTAGATCTCTAGATCAAGAATCTACTAGATCTACTTCTGTATCTTTCAGATTAGAAATAAAAATTAGATTTGTGATTATTTTCTTACAACAACAAAAAATGTGTGGAGTTAGCCTACTTATTTAGTTCTTATTTTTAAATAACAATGGTATAATTCTATAATCAAGATTGACTTTACTAAACCAAAGTAAAATCCATTTAAAAATACGGAAGTTCCATAATTTGCCATAGGCCTAACAGATTTTTATTAAGGGTCAGATGCAGACACAATTTTACACTATTTTAGCCACTCCCCTTCCTGGTATAGAAAACAGATATAAAGAATTAAATAGGAATACGCCTTAAGCACATGCGAATCTAGTTTGATGTAAAATTTATTTATTTACAAATATACGAGCCTAAAAAAATTAACATGGTAACAATAAGACATAAGTTAATACCTTGTCTTGGTCTGAAATCGGTTCGTCGTCGAAGGCGTCAGCCATTTTATTCAGTCCGGTGCGTAATGCGAATCTCGCGAATGTAGCCGATATGAGCAATTAAAAACAACGCCATTCTAAAAAAATTATGAGACAATAAATTTAATAATTCAATTAACTGTGTAGTAAATTTATTGATTACTATTACAATTAAAAAATAATATATAAAGAAATATTTATTGTATTAACAAGTAGCATTTTTTTTCAAAGTTAACAAGGAATTTGTCCGAAAGAAATCATATTTTTTCAGGGGAAATAATCGATAGATTTTATTTACTGTTACTTGGGACGCCAAAACCGAAAATAACAACTTTCAATTTCATGATCCAAATGATTTAATCTAATCTAAATCTAGATCTAAATTATGCTAATGTTTTGATGACAGTACAATTGTTTTTGCCTGACCTTAACAGTAACTCATTACTGTTTAGTGTTAGTCCTGTTGACTGTCTTAATTAATAATTAAAGTCTTAAATCAAACTTCAAGTTTGAAACTTGCCTTGGTCCTGCCTTGTCAGTTGAGTTAGCCAACAGATCCCAAGTGTTACACATAAATATAGATCTAGTATCATAGAGATATAGTCTAGCTAGATCTAGATCTACAATCCACGTGAAGCTGAGTTTAGATTATTTATAGTTACCAGTACATAGTATTTAGATCTACCCGTGCATTCTATTCAACAGTAGTCTGTACTAGTTAGATCTGGTGGTGAAGTTAAGAGTTAAGAACAATCTTTTTTTAAAAAATTGTTCCTTATGCTGACTGTGCATAAAAAATTTTATGATGATATAACCAGTTAAAAATTCTCTTATATATGTTAGTATTATATTGTATGAGTGAAAACTTTAGCTGTTCAACATTTTAAAATGAACGACAGACCAATCAACTGCAATATAAAAAATCCAGTGTGCTTGACAATTCCAGAGGATAAGCACTTCAACCAAACATTTCACTCTGGTTGCAAAATCATTGATATTTCTTTTCCAAGTGTTATTAATCCAGAGGTGAGATATGATTTTAAAGCAGAAAAATATATGCTTCTCTGTTTAGTTGAGTTTGGGATTCAATGTTGACTTAATAAAATTAAAATAAATGTCTTACTTTTTTAAATTAAAATTTAGCTGGAAAAAGTTGAGGCTAATTCAATATTGGATCACTGTCTTTCCTGGCCCAAACTGCAAGATCGCCAGTTATAATTATATAGTCTTGTTTGTATTTTGTTGACTGTGCTTTTATATTAACCCTATATATTATCCACTTTTATTTAAATATATAAAATTGAAAATTTGTAAGGTTCTTTACTGCTAAAATTATATTTCATGCAACATTTCTCATTCAGATAAATATGTTTTATAAGCCTTCATATTTATAGCCTACTTCACTGTAAATATATCTTTAACTCAAAATATTGTTTGGTGCTATACTTGAATATTTATAACAGCAGGTACCATTTGTTGTCTATGGTATTTTCCTGAGACAGTAACTTGTTGCTGACAATTTATGTTCACTCTTGTATGTCAGGCATTCATTATTATTACAAACCTTCAGGGGATACCCAGACAAATGATCTTAAATGTTCAAAGTAGCAGATAACCTTGTCTTACAATTACAATTCACTTTCAATTTTTAGTCTAAACTTAAGTTCTAACATTTTAAAAGATTTAAATACATTTCCTATAGACAACTGTGGAATGTGATTATGTAAGTAGTCTGCAACAGATCTGCCTTAGTGTAACATAGAATATCTATTTATATGTGTGTTTTTTATTGAGATGTCTCATAGAACAGAAAGTTTTGATACAAACACTTGTATTTTGTTTTATAATTTTTAAGTCCTAATTTTTAATTAAATGAATGCATAAACTCATTTTTTTTTTAAACTTTTAATTTTACAATATCATAAAATTTTAAGTTTTCCCCTTTCATTTTTCACTTACTTTATCATATTTATTATATTTTTTGTCAACTTAAAACCTAGAGACTTGAATTTTTTAAATTTCTAGTTCATATTAGCATACTTTAACTTATCATCACTAAAAGACTTTTGCAGCTTTACTTTTTTTTTAAATGTATGTATTTTCGGACCTGAATTAGATTTATTTTATAGCATTAATTTTAAAAATATGTTTGCATTTTAGTATGGTGTAGTACTTAATTTTTAAACTTTTTAACCATTGCCTCTCAGTAGGATATAGTTTCCTTTTTCCCTGCATTCGTTATTATGTGCTCTATGTGTAGGCTTTATCAAATAAGAATTATAACTCATAGGCCAATGTAAAAAATATTTGCATAATGTACTTGTGTATTATTAAAACACTTGAGAGAAGGTAGATGAATGATTTAGAAAAACTAAAACATAGCAAAATGTGGAATATAAATCATGTTCTAATCCAAATTAATTCAGTTTTATTTTTTCAGGTTTTTTCTACTTCTATGTTCTGTAGTTACAATAAATAGTAATATGTTTAGTTCTCAAATCTACCCTTTTTTTTTAGTCATTAGAAAATAGTCAAAAAGCTTTGCTGCATGAAATGCATGAAATGCTTCAAAATTAAAGTTTCGTTTTTGTTTAGTCTTTTTATATGTAATATTCGTGTCATTAATTTTTATTGTTCTAACTTTAATAGGTTGTAAGTAGATTCAGAGTTGGATGAATATCTTCCCCAATTTGATTTTCAGGACTCAAAATTGTTTTAATGAGACAATAAAACATTTTTTTTAAAACAATACATCTACCTAGTAGCTTAAAAAACAATTGAGATTCAATACTGTATTTCAATGTTTATTAATGTTGACTACTAAGTTTATGTTTATAATTTTTTTTAAAAAATTCCTTTAGTAACAGCTGTAATGACGGATCAAAAAAAAAAAAAATTAAATTTTCTCTCCTTTTTAAAGTAATTGTTACACAATTGCTAAATAATGTTTTTTCCCCTAGATTGGAGAAATACAGTTTCAGAATTATTATGTTGCCTTTCTTACTCTTAAAGTTAAAATTAAGATGACAGAAGAAACCCCAAAGCAAGGAGGTTAGTAGGATATACCAAATCTGATATTTTACTTAGATTTATAAATACATGAAAGTGATTCTGTTTTTTTTTTTCAGCAAGTTGTTTTAGAGTGATGTATTTTTTTAAAAAAGCTATTAAAAAAACAAAACATGGTAGTTAATTAATAGATTTTTTAAATTAAAAAAATCTTTTTAGTATAGTAAACTTTTTGTTCTTGCCATTATGCATAGACATTTGAAACACTACACTTTTTTTCTTTAAGTGAAATTTAACATATTTATGCTATATTATGAAAAATGTTTAGAATGTATATATCTCATCAAAAACGTTTCACCTTTCAAAATCTTTACCAATTTTATTTTTTAAATAAAATATATCCAAATTTTAAGCACAACTAAAAACATAACTCATTTTTATTTCAGTGAATGTATTTTTAAAAAGTATTTATTTTATAAAATGATGTATCCTAATCTTTAAAACAACGTAAACATAACTTATTTATTTTAGTAAATGATCAGGGTTGGAGAATTGCTTTAAAAAGATATAAACTGATGCCTGATGCCCATGCTGAAACAGGATCCCAAGATATATTCAGTCTAACAAAGAAACATGTATGTATAGAGCAGAAAAAGGTGATATTCATAATTTATAGTAATGCCATTTTTTGGGATTAGTTGTGGAAACTTTAATTTAAAAATTATGCCTTCGTGTTTTAATTGTCTTTTAGAAGTAGTAAACTAATTGCTATAAAAATGACATATAGTAAATTCAGTTTTGTCAAATTAACTTTTTAAGAGAGTTACCAGTAAAACTATCATATTCTCAGGGACTATTAATCTGTTTCCTTAACAGTTTTCACCATTGAAATCAGCATTTAAAGTAGTAAACTATTTTTACATGCTTAAGTTGTTGCAGCCAATCTAAAATACATTTTGTTTATCTGAGAATTATCATTGATGCAAAAAAATTGAATTATTATTTGAAGTAAAACAAATCTTGAAACCTTCATGCACCTTCAGAAGCTAAAAATGTAAAGGATGTCTCCTTGCCCGGTCAATTTGAAAAGCTGAGTTGAAACATTTAAAGTATTTCTTTTAATTTTAAATCAAACTAAAGTTACAGTCATGAAATATATCTTTGCTCATTGTTTTCAGTTTTTGGTTGAGCTTTCGAATGTTGTGACCCTTAGACTAATCTTACAACAGCCATCTCCTGTGTGGAAAGATTTCAGTTTAACTAATATAAAACTATTTCGTCCTCTCTTGGTAAGTGGTACCTGAGTGTCCTCTCATGGTAAGTAGTAGCTGAGTGTCCTCCAGTTGTAGCCGGGTGTTCTCTCTTGGTCAGTAGTAGCTGGGTGTCCTGTCATGGTCAGTAATAGCTGAGAGTCAGGCAGAGGCATAGCGAGGGGGGGGGGGGGCAGGGGGTGCAGATCGCACTGGGTGACACCATTTAGGGGGTGACATCAAGGCAAAAAAAAGCAAAATATATAGAGAAAAACTTGAGGTGGGGGGGGGGGGGGTGCAAATCGAAAGTTTGAGGGGTGGGGTGCAAATCGAAAATTTGAGATGGGAGTGCAAATCGAAAATTTGAAAGTTTGTCCCCGGGAAGGGTTGCTACTCCTCTGGGGGATGACACCATTAAGTGCCGCACCGGGTGACACCCGACCTCACTTGTTTAGATAGTTCACTAAAAGAAAATAATGTAGATATAGCTCTAGGTTAATCTTGCTCAAAATATTTTTTACTGAATCAGCATATAAATATATTGCATTCAGAAAAAATACAAAATGCCAATTTTAATCTGACATTTATTTATGTTTTATCACAAACAATTATTTTTGTAACATTGTTTATGTTTTATAAAATGCTATTAGCATAACAATTTTCTATTACTTAAGAAGTGTGTGATATGATTATTGTTACCTGTACAGTATCTAATTTCTTTAATAATGTTCTTAAATCTTGAAACTTCTAGGGTTCCAGAGCAACACCAATACCCTCATGGGTGCTAGAGGAAACAAAAAAGACAACAGGAAAAAAAGAAATAGAAGTAATTCCACTTTGCTTCATTTTATAACTTTTCTAATCCTCTGTAGGTCTACTTGTCTCTTTATTTATTTTACCTACAGTAGAAAGACGTTAGGAATAAAAAAAAAAACACCTCAAATTCATCTTGTAGCAAAATAGTTTTTAAATTTTTATATATTTCATTGTCTCTTCATAAAATAAAATAATCATAGTATAAGCCTATATATTTTTACTTGTATATACATTACATTTTGTATAAACTATTGTTATACTAGGGTATTTTTTCAGATGCTACTGAAATTAGATTTTCTAACTTTAAAACTTTTTGCTATATGTAAAAAATGTATTTTACCATTTTAAAAAAAAACTTAATCTGAAAAATGGATTAATAATATCTTTTTGGCCTAACTGGCATGAAAGTAAATTTTTATAACAATAACATGGCAAAAAAAGTTGGGGGTGAACTTTTAGTGCTGTTCACTTTTCCAATACACCCACAGATTGTTATAGCAAGTGTCCTAAACTTTTATGTTATAGTATTGATAATCATGATTTAATGTACAGCCAGGCAGCTTAGACTTGATGTCAACACCAAATACACAACTCACTCCATTGGTAAGATAAAAATGATCTGGCCAAAGAAAAGATATTTCCAAGTGTTTTGAACTAGATCTGTTAATTTAGAAGTTATGTAGATGTATAACATCCACACTTGTAGTAGATTTTATCTTGAATAATATTTTTAGTTCTCAAAGACGTTTACTTTCTCTCATATTGAGTGGCTCTAGCTATATGTGATGTGAGCCACATTTTGTGAGACTCTGATATGGCTTTTTACTATAATGTTGATGTTTTTTGTGTTGATGTTTTTATCCACACACCCAAATCAGCCTTGCCATGTTAGTACTCAGTGTTTATTTCTCTGAAGCATGTTTATTGCTAGTAATATTTCTAGCTTTGTTTTTTAACCAACACTCTGATATTCCAAACCTAATATGCATCATGTTCTGCAAATTGTGACTCTGAAGTCAATACTTTATTATATGTGCATTATTTTTTTTCTTAAACCCATCTTTTTAAAACATTAAAACAGAAAAAGATCAAATTTTGAAACCATGTGAAAAACTAATGTTCTGTAATATCTTAGATATTAGGCTTTATGTCTTTTCATATTTTAAAATAAAAAAAACATTACATCCTGATAACTTTTGCATCCTAGAAGTGATTTGTGACTAGCGTAACAAAAAGTAGTGCATCATAATATTTTCTTGTTCATCATGTGCTAATGTTATCATAAATAACATAATCTGACTTGCCAAACAAAAAATAGTGCATCATAATATTTTCTTGTTCATCATGTGCCAATGTTATCATCATTAATATAATCTGACTTGCCAAATAAAAAGTAGTGCATCATAAATCATAATAATTCACTGTATAGCATGTTCCAATTTCATCAACAGTGAGACAAATTATGCCTTGGAGCTACCACATCCCTAGTTTAATTGCAATGCTTTTATAACTTTGATATAGATGTAGTAGATCATTTATCCACAGGGTGTTCTATTGCTCCACAATCAACTAACATCCTCCTAACTTGTAACAAATTATTCATTTTGAATTCATAATGTAAAAAATAAAATTAGTCAAGCATTGTCTATTTTTTTAATAAGAAAACAAAAATCAACTTATATGGGTGAGACTGTTAAAAGATAAGCCATTCAATGTGATATATGTTGACAAATTTTTGTTGAAACATTATTAGTTTAAATAAATCTAGATCTAAGTGGAATCTAAGTCTTAGACTCTATTATCAAGTCATGAGAAAAGCAAGTGACAACATGTTGAATTATTTCCCCTCCTTTTGTAAAAACTAGTCTACATGTTATTCAAAAATTTAATTTCTCCATTTAAAAACAGCTGTTATATATATAAATATATATACAATGTTATTGTTGTCATACTATAGGGTGTCCCAGACCTAGACATACTTTCTTCCAATCTGCAACAGTTATGGGCCTTGGCTGAAGAGGTGTCTACAGCTCAAACTGATTCATCAATAGGAAGATATGAGGTAGGGTTTTTCTCTTGTAAGTTACCATAGTTATACTGGGGTACTTAACTGATTCATCTATAGGAAGATATGAGGTAGGGCTTTTCTCTTGTAAGTTACCATAGTTATACTGGGGTACATAACTGATTCATCTATAGGAAGATATGAGGTAGGGCTTTTCTCTTGTTAGATACCATAGTTATACGGGGGTACTTAACTGACTCATCTATAGGAAGAAATGAGGTAAGGTTTTTTCTTGTTAGATACCATAGTTACACTGGGGTACTTAACTGACTCATCTATAGGAAGAAATGAGGTAAGATTTTTTCTTGTTAGATACCATAGTTACACTGGGGTACTTAACTGACTCATCTATAGGAAGAAATGAGGTAAGGTTTTTTCTTGTTAGATACCTTAGTTATACTGGGGTACTTAAACACCAAAGAGTTCTATGACTTGTCTCTAACTGACACTTCTTTTTTAATTTTCTACTGGCCACACAATCTCTGTATAGAGATAAACTCTACTTCCTCTATAGACTAGACTAATCAAGGCCCAAAAAAATACAGCTTGTAAATAGAGTTTTGATCAAATAAATACCTGCATATCTCTACACATAGGTGTAAGTGACTAGTTCTTCCATCTAAAACTGATCATTACCATTTTGTGATTTCAATTTTCACAGGTAGATGGGTGCTATGACATCAATCTTCTATCTTACACCTAAAATTTACAGATCAGTGTCCGGATGGGAACAATACTGCAGACTTTTTTACAGTTGGGTGTTCTGTTTTAGAAGAATTTTTTTTCATTTGTTGTATTTCTTCAAATACTTGTATACTTTTAGTCAAACTGAAATTAATGATTAACTGGGCTATACAGTATACAGGTTTGCTTATATCTTGTGCCTAAAGAAAGATATTTTGGTCTGTTTTTTAATTTCTATGCTGTTTATCGCCCTTGTTTTAGTTTCATTGTGAATTTAATGCAATGGATTAAAATATGTAAAAACCGTGGTGTTTGAATAAGGTGTTTTATCATGTTTTCTTAAGAAATATTATAATAAATTATTGGTTGGTGTTTTCTGTTTGGTAGTAAAATATTTGTTGTGTTATTTATGTTATTTACGAACTAGGCAATAAGCTAGTTTTACTAACAGTATTCTAATAAATGGTCAACAGAAGCAGACCATTCTCCCCCCCCCCCCCCCTCCCAGGCCTACGTCTCCTTATTCCGCCCTGAGACCCAACTTTCACGCATACAACCTTAAACACTTTACGTAAGACAACTTCCATTTTGGGGCCTATGGTGGAGCGTCATTTAACACATTAAGACCCCCAACATACGCCACTGTGGGTACCCATTGCACCAACTAAATCCTATAGCCATCATGGACCCCACCCTCCCCCCTATTCAGACACCTCCACATAGAAGCGGTGAACATAAAAAGAAGAAAAAATCTCCAACCGTAGCCCTCAGCTCTGAGACAAGCGTTGAACGTGTGTGAGACATAAATCCACGTCTAATGACCCACTGATACTAGCGATACGTAATTTGTATCAATCCAGCTTTCGGCACTTCGGGAACAAGACCCAGCTTAATAACCCTACACACGGACTACTGGGGTACATTGTTTCAGCGGATTGTTTCTCTTGATCTCATCAGGGGCGAGAAGAAACTACGACACCCAGTAGCGCCCCCTTTCATTCTCTAACACCCCCAAATAGACCAGTAACAAAAGTTTTTGTAGTTTAGAAGTTCCTATTGTAACTTACACATCAGGTGCATGCCTACTTACTAGCCCAGGCCTCATTACTAGCCCAGGCATCATTACTAGCCCAGGCATCATTACTTGCGCTCTAAACACTTCAAATTTCGGGATACATTTTTCTACTATCTGACACACACGATCTCACAAGGTCTTCTGAAATCTTATCGTGGCTTAAAACACTTAACAAAAAACGTGTTCGCCATGGGGAGTTGTCCATAAATGACGTCACACTCGTAGGAGGGGGGGGGGGGTCCGTAATTTTGTGAGGGTGTGTGGGGAGGGGGTGAGGGTTCAGATGGTGTGACGTTACACTTTTGTAATATAAAAAATAATGTTAGAAAACGAATTTTAGCCGTTATTTCGCGTTTTAGACAACTGTTTTAATAAACTGTATTAGGAATTGATTAAAATACTCTATTTTGACAGAGTTCAGAACAAGATTTTTTTTAAATGATCTATTTACATCATTTTCCTATATCTTATATAATTTATTAAAAGATTAGCGTTTAACAATTTGTTAAAATTGGGGAGGGAGTTTTTAATTGGATAGGTAGGTATATATTATGGGGTCTTTGTAGAGTCCTGCAACGATTCTGTAGTATAATTCATTGTAGCTTATAGGGTTCCGAGGATGGTGGTGCTTTGCACATTGTGTTATTGTACAATGGTTGACTGGTTCGTTTACGTGAGATTTTGGACAAAATTTTTTGTTTTGCTTCGGCAGAGACATTTGCTTGTTGTATTTCCCTGGTGGCGTGACTACCTTTTCGTTAATCTTTGTTGTTGTTTCCATGCTTTGGATCAGAGGCGTAGCGACCCTTCCCGGCGCCCGGGGACAAACTTTTCGATTTGCACTCCCCCCCCCCTTAAGATTTCGTTCGATTAGCACCCCCCCTCAAACTTTCGACTTGCACCCCCCCTCAAGATTTCGACTTGCACCCCCCCCCCCTCAAACTTTCAATATGCAGCCCCCTCAACCTTTCAATTTATTTTTCCAACCCATTTTGACGCCCCCTAAGGTCGGCGCCCGGGGACATATGTCCCCCCCCCCCCCGCTCCTCCCCCCCCCCTCGCTACGCTACTGCTTTGGATATATATGGTTTTGTTGATTTTTTTTTCTTCTGTGATTGAATTGTGTCAGTCCTTGCTAGAGTTATCTTGTCCACCGGACTTATGTAACTACTTGATTGCTGTAGAGATTCTGGAATGGAGATTTCATCTGTTTTTGTCATTGTCTCTTTGTTATGGGTTATGCTTGGGTCATCTTCTTTCCCTTTTTGTGGTGCCTCTGTTTTTGGGGGTTGTCTCGAGCACTGAATTAGTGATTTCTTGTGTGCCTTTGTTATTTTCCCCTGTTCTGATGTAGGATTGTTTTTCCTTTTTGTTGGTGTGATGGTGTATGTTGCTGTTTCTGAATGTGGTTTACTGATATTTGCTGTTGCAGTACTGTTTATCGAGATTGTGTTTATGGATGGCTCTTTGTTACTGAATAGGCGTAGTGCTTGTATGAGTGTAATGTTGTTAAGTGTAGGGGTACCCATCTAAGGGTCTCGTTGAGTTTGTTGTTTTCATGAAGTGAGAAATGCAGTGTATATGGACCGTGTGTTTTGCATGTGTTGTCCATTATGGTGACGTCGAAGGCTTGTGAGGAGAAGTGCCAAGTGTCCACTCTGCCATAGTTGAGTAGAAGAGCTTGATGATTGCTGATTAAATGTCTTAATATATGGCCTCACGTGTTTGGTTGACCTCTTGAAGTGATGAGTACTTGTAGGCAGTGGCGTAGCGAGGTCGGGTGTCACCCGGTGCGGCACTTAATGGTGTCACCCCCCGGAGGACAAACTTTCAAAATTTCGATTTGCACCCCCCCTCAAACTTTCGATTTGCACCCCCCCCCCCCTCAAGTTTTTCACTATATATTTTGCTATATTTTGCCTTGGTGTCACCCCCCTAAATGGTGTCACCCGGTGCGGTCCGCACCCCCCCCCCCCCCCTCGCTACGCCTCTGCTTGTAGGTGAGGCTGATACAGATGAATAAAGGTCTGGACATTCTTCTTCGGGTAGATCAAGAATTACTGTGTCAGCCATGTGTTACGTATCAGACCCCATCCCTCTGATAAAAGAAAATGCCCTAAAGGTAATCTCCCCCCCCCTAACACCACCACCCCAACCCTAGGTACAATTCTGACAGACGCCACCGATGCCAATGTGTGAGACGCAGCAGTCGTCTATGTGACGTAACTGCCCCAGCCAGGCGCATGCGCTGTGAAGAGACGGCGACCAGTGGGCACAAACAATGAGCTTTGTAGTTTCCAGGCCGCCCAGAACACAAGTGCCGTCACCTCACACACCTGGGCCTGCAAGCACATTGAAGCGGGGGAGGTGTAGGGGTGGAGAGAGAAGAGAGGAGTGGTCATCGTTTCAAGAAAAGAAAGTAGGGATACACTCATCATAAATTCCTCTAAGGTCAGTCAATAAACTTCACGGTAATTTCGCCGATCTCTCCCCACCCTCACAAAATTATGTCACAACCAGCCCCCCCCCTCCCGCCACACACACCAAAAATCAAAATTAAACCGCAAATAAACATATTTTATTACTTTTATTTCTGAGATCCATCACCAAAGAGCAAATAGTCGGAAACCCCAAATGAACTTGACGGCATTTATTTATGGACAACACTTTATTACTACTACATTTGAGGAGGCCAATAAAAATTAATAACTTCGTTAGCTTAAACCTAACATGAGAATGTGCATAATTTGAGCTAGGTGGCCTAGCCTTGTATATAGCCTTGTATAAAGACAGAAGTAAATTGTTAACTTTTTCTCAAGTATTTCCTCGAAGAATTAAAAAAAAAAATCTTAAATAAGGTATCAACACTCTTTAGCTGAAATAGTTGATTATCTCCCTTGCTTACGTCATAATTACAATACAAATAAATTAAGGGAGATAGCTAAGAGTAATTTTAAATGTAATTAACATCATCCATTACCCTTGCGTCGACTGCATAAGTTAAAAATAAATCTCTACAAATTCGTTTGCTTAAAAATTATTTAAACACATCTCATCAATGCTAACGCTCTTTAATTTCCTATTATTTACTCTTTAGTAAAAATAAATTCTAAATCTAAACAATAAATTTGAATATCGGTAATTCCATTTAAATTTGCAACATTATCAGGATTAACAATATGATAACTAGCTCGAGTTTGCACACCTTATTTTAGTCTAGTTCTTATGCCATTTTATTTTCTCCATTTGATTATTATATATGCAATTGATGTTCATGTCTTTGATGCTGTGTAAAATCTATCAAATAAATAATTACTACTGATTTAAATGTTTAAAACAATTGAATTAATAAAACAAAAAAAAAATAAAAAGGAAAAAAAAAAACTAATTGAGGACTGTATAGATATAGATGTTTGAAAGGGAAGAATGTTTGCTTTGATGTGTCTCGTTGTAATAACATAACTTTTCCGATTGCTTAAAATTTGTATCATTTTAATTCTCTGTAATCCCAAATTCATTTCAGCTCTACTTTAAAAAAAAACAAATTCCCCCTCCCCCCCCCCCCCCCCTCGTCCCCTCAGCCCACCACGCAGAGAAAAAAAAAATCCCTTGCATCATCATTTAATTTTAACCCTTTATTTACGGAATTAGGTTCTGAATGAAATTTTTTCTTAAACAATGTGTTATCATATTGCTTTTGGCACATTTAAAGCATATGTCGAAGGAAATTTCGTTTCATAAATGTTTGATGGCCCAAACAGATATTGGTACTTATAAGTACCGTCAGGAATGTAGGACATTTTTTCCAAAAAAAATTTCGTTTACAAAACAGGAACAAACGATACAATTTATTAACTAATAAAATGACAATCATTATAACAGTCATTTTTTGTAATTTTTACACATAAATACAGCACAAAAGTATATTTTGAGTACGATTTTTATTGGATTTTCTGTCGGAACACATCTAAGGCCTCAAACACAGCAAAAGTTGCCGACATATCATGCTCCCTCAATGTTGTCTGTGGTCTTTCTTGTGTAGCAACGATTGCCGGAATGAGCATGCTTTTGCTGGAAGCTTCCAATAGCTATTACTTACAATGAGCCGCATAAACAAACAAAAGCCTATTCATTCAGTACACAACTACTAGTAATACTAGTATAATTGTAGCCTACTAGAATGTTATGACAAGTCTTCACTGCAGTGTAAAGTTCATAAATATAAGTGAGCGCAATGTG